CAGTATACTGTTCCCCAGAACCACAGACACATGGGAATTGCCCTGTGGGCTTCTGTGGGCCATTCCTCTGCACAGGGGTGTGGATTGGGAGGTTAGCTGGGAACTGTAATAGGCTTCTGCAGAACACCAGCTCAATAACATGGCTTCTCTGGCCTACTTGCATTTCTATGGCCAAAAGCATTGCAGAAAGCACAACAGGCTGGTTGAGGGAAGGCAGACAGCTAGTCCTAGGAAATTCTCTTATTTTAAAACTAACTTTGATCTGATTTCACTTTTAATTCCTTAAGGTCATAAAAGATAAAATTTAAATGGAAATGATTTAGAAATAAAATATCACAGGCATAATAGTTATTTTATGTTTATTTAAGAATCCAACTTCCCCCAAACAAGCCAAACCACCTAAAGCTGAATTCTAATGTCTTAAACACTAAGATTTTTATGTGTGGTTAGAAATATTTGGTGGTCCGATACAGTGACATGAAATGCTACTATTTTCCTCTCCATTTTAATTAATTTATTAATTTTCCCCTGTGTACTGGGGATTGATCTCAGTGGTGCTCTATCACTGAGTTATACCCTGAGCCCTTTTATTTTGAGACATGGTCTCACTAAATTGTGCAGGCTGGCCTTGAACTTGGAATCCTCCTGTCTCTGCCTCCTGAGTAGCTGAGACCACCAGTGTGCCAAAGCACTTGACTAAGTTTCCACTTTTAAGTGGGCAAATATAACTGATTATTCACTGATGTGGCCAACTTCAGAAAACGCTAACTCTAAAAATGGAAAATCCTCAGTGATGTTAGAACGTCTTCAAGAAGTACAGTTGGCACTTCTCTCTAGCTCAAATAGAACATTTACTGACAACTTTAACCTGTGGGTTCTTTTATAAAGACACATGTCTGGGAGCAATGATCATCTTTGCATTTTGAAATGATTTATAATTCATAATTGACACATCCATGTTTTCCCAAGAGATAGGTGCTTTGCAAATGGATAGCAAGGTCTGTGAACAGTTTTATGTAGCAATAGTTATGCAGCATAATCCCAGTGACTTGGGAGGCTGAGGCAGGAGGATCACAAGTTCAAGATCAGCCTCAGTAACTCAGTGAAACTTAAATACTTGGTGAGACCCTGCCTCAAAAATAAATAAGCTGGGAGCGGTGGTGCATGCCTGTAATCTCAATAGCTTGGGAGGCTGAGACAGGAGGATCATGAGTTCAAAGCCAGCCTCAGCAAAAGCGAGGTGCTAAGCAACTCAGTGAGACTCTGTCTCTAAATAAATAGATAGATTGACAGGGCTGGAATGTAGCTCAGTGTAAAGTGCCTCTGGGTTTAAAAAAAAAAAAATCTGTGAAGCAGATGATAGCTTTAAAAGCTTATTTCATGAGGGGAGGGGGGATAGTAGAGGATAGGAAAGGTAGCAGAATACAACAGTTACTAATAGGGCATTATGTAAACATGTGGATGTGTAACCGATGTGATTCTGCAATCTGTATTTGGGGTAAAATTGGGAGTTCATAACCAACTTGAATCTAATGTATGAAATATGATATGTCAAGAGCTTTGTAATGTTTTGAACAACCAATAAAAAAAAAAAACTTATTTCATGCTGGGAGTATAGCTCAGTGGTAGAGTGCCCGCCTGGCATGGAGAAGTCCTGGTTCTAACCCCAGAACTGCCAGAAAAAAGAAAAAAGTGTATTTCCCTTTATATCTTTTTTCTCTCAACAGTCCTGCTCATACAGGGTCATAAACAAGGTGGCCAGCAGCAGGTGCTGGACTAGATTCACATCTCACAATGTCCCAGCCATCTCTTCCTCATGACATCTCTTCTTCCTCACCCAAAGAGAGATTCTGTACCTGACTCAAAAACAGATTACAAATTCTAAAAGGACAAGAGTTTAAGTTAATGGAGTTATCATGGAAAGCAGAAAATGGGCTCCAGGTTTTAAAAGGTTTCTACCAAGCCTCAGCCCTTTAAGGTGTTAACTGAATGCCAACGCCACTGTAAACTGCAGACTCTTCATTACCGGCACACCAGAACTCAACAGCAACATCATTTACTAAAAATTAAAAAAAAAAAGTTAGATAATGGAAGAGATTCACTTATTAAATAGGGACTATGAAAAGATTATGTCTGGGCTGGGGTTATGGCTCAGCGGTAGAGCACTCGCCTTGCACGTGCGGAACCTGGGTTCGATCCTCAGCACCACATAAAAATAAATAAGTGAAATAAGGGTATTTTGTCCAACTAAAACTAAAAAATAAATATTAAAAAAAAGATTATGTCTAAGCTGACAAACAACTCCTTTTAAAATAAAATGTCTAAATTTGTATCCAAATTCTCCAACCCTCAGGCTCAGGACAGGAGATCCACATTAGCTTCAGCTGGGCAGCTCTGAGGGAGATTTAGTGCCTCTTATATTTTCAGTGTGTTAGAGAAATGTTTTCCCTCACAATTACTTTGATTTTATTTACTTATTTCGTGGTGCTGGGGATTGAACCCAGGGCCTCACACATGCCAAGCTACTGCTTTACTATGGAGCTGCCCCTGAGCCCTCTTTAAGAAAGGATCTTGCTAAATTGCCCATGCTGGTCTCCAACTTCAGATCCTCCTGCCTCAGCCTCCTGAGGAGCTGGAATTAGCCAGAAATAGGGGCATGTGCCACCTCTCCTGGAACACAGTTTCTTTTAAAAGAACCTCAGAAAACAGACTGTTGCTTACAGGATGAAAAAACAAGCCACCTTGTCATTAGCCTCACCTTATCCATCCTGTGCAACAGCTTAATGACAGGTTTCAGATTCTAGAAAAGGTGTTTCTAGAAGTTGCCCTGCACTACTGCGGTTCCACAGCCAGAGCTAACATACAGCGGCATGGTGACTAGCACAGCCTGCAAGAGAGGACACCAGTGCCAGTGTCTCTCAGAGCAGTCCTCTGCGAACCAGCCACTCAGGGTTTGTTTTGTTTTTTTGGTACTGGAGATTGAACTCGGGGCACTCGACCACTGAGCCACATCCCCAGCCCTGTTTTGTATTTTATTTAGAGACAGGGTCTCACTGAGTTGCTTAGTGTCTCACTGTTGCTGAGATTGGCTTTGAACTCGCGATCCTCCTGCCTCAGCCTCCTGAGTCGCTGGGATTACAGGTATGCGTCACGTCTCAGGGTTGTTTTGTTTCTATTTTTGTGTGTGTGATACAGGGCCTCACACATTCAAGGAAGCGCTCTACTACTAGTGAGCCACCTCCCCAGCCCTCATGTTCTTATTCCCTGCTGAAGTCTGCGTTTCATCTGAAAATATAAAACGAGAAAAAGACCTAAAACCTAAATACACAGGTGCCCAAGTAGCTTCTGGCAGTGTGACAGATTGCAGCTTCAAGAGGGAATGGCAAGGGCACAGAGTCAAGGTGAGTTTGAAAGTATGCAAAGCAGGGGAGTCTGCCAACATGGGAGCTCCACTCAGAACAGTCTCCTCCACCGGCTGTTTCAGGTCAACGATGACAGCAGTGTGTGTGGGGGTGGGGTGGGGGGGCTCGGGTTTCAAGAATTCCACCTTCACACAGAGTTGCTGCATTTATTTGAGGCAGGAGATTTCCTGCTTTTCCCTTGGTCAATATAAGGGCGTTGCATCCAGAAGAGCTTTCTCTTCTAGATCACTCATTTTGCAGGGAAAAAACAAAATATCCCAAGAAAACAGTAAATAGCAGACAGATGATTTAATTCTATTACCTAATACTTCTTATTGTCAAGATCTGGTTTAAAGACAGACACCCTGCAATGGAATAGTCAGTACGTGCCAATATACTGTCGCGAGCTTATGATTTCACTTTAATCTTCCATTCAAACATGTCCTTTACTATGAAAGCAACCATTATCATCCAGGTAAAAAAGAAAATCAATTTCACTTCATTTTTTGAAGGACAAGCTATTATGATTTTAAAAAAGAAATCAAGTCGCACAGGCCAGCTGTCGCTTACAAGAGACCAAGACCTGGTTCACTGCTGGGCAGGCTTCTCTGGGATCCTCCTTTCTCATCTGGGAGAACTTTGGTTGATTATATTAGCATATCCAATCCTCATTTTTAAGTGCACCATTGTAAATGGAAGTGTTTTGTTCACAGTTATTGATTCTCGCCATCACACAACCAGGTCAGGTTTTGGAACACAAGTTATTAGCTGGAAAACACAGCTCCTGCCTATGGACTCGGAGTTGTGCTAGGACTAGCAGGTGGAGGCATGCCAAGCCAGAGCAGGGGATGCTGCCCTTGCTGAGCCACAAGTTAGTGACTAGAGAGGTCAAAACCACCACTGTTCAAGTAGCCACTGTCAAAGAGAAACACTCTATTTAGAGTCTCATTCTTTGGATTTTGTTCTTTTGTGGTGCTGGGGTCCAAACCCAGTGTTCTGCCACTGGGTTACATCCTCAATCCTAGGGTTTCCTTCTTTCCATAGACCTGTTCTAATCCCAAGTCCCTTAATCCACAAACCTGCTTATAAAAGGATCAAGTGAGAGCCAAGAGAGTAATCCGAGGAAGCAATTATGTCTCACTGGGGTCAAAGTCATTTTAAATTTTCTAACGTTCTAAAGTTACAAAGTTTGTTTCCCACAGTCCTGTTATTGAAGGGTGCTGCTAAACTCCTTTGTTTAGGATGGATGCCCACTTTCTGTGGGCCTCCAGCCACTCACGGGACTGTCGAGCCACAGGTACTGAAACAAGTCGACGAGCATCAGCCAGGTGTCCGCCAAGAAGCCACTGTCTGTGACACATGTGCAGTGTGGACACACATCCTGCCTGCTCTCCAACAAGCAGTTGGAGTCCTGGGGCCGGAGAACCAGAGGGATGCTTTGCTGGCATTTTAAATGTGCCCACTGCTCAGCCATAATGATGGCGATGGAAACTTCACACTGTACCATGGGCTGAGTTAGAGGGAGGGACTCTCTTTCCCTGTCCTCTCTCCCCAACCACCTGTTCCCCCAGCCCCATCTGTTCAGCAGCCCTGGCTCACCTCCTTGTGGGAGTCTTTGTGGGCTTCCAGAGTCTTCATGATCGTCAGCTCAGCGTAGTTTTTGAATCTTGCAGGCTGGTTTCTCAGAATTTCCCGTAAAACTCGCAATGCCAGTGCTCGAATTGAATGCTGGGTACGAGAGGAAACGCAACCCTCAGTAACAATACACACCCTTGAGGAGCCATACCAGCTCCAGGGTCCGCCAGGTCCAGCGCCTAGTTCTGGGTTCCCCGGCCATTTCAAAGACCCCTCTACCCAGACTGCATGGTTTACTTGACAGGGACTCTCTAGACAGTTAGCTCTAGGCGGGCAGGCACTGTATGGCACGGTGCATCCCAGACCCAGCCCTAGGAGGAACCACAGAGGCTTCTTGAATGAGCTTTGAACTGCAGACCAAATGAGGATGACACCTCCAAGTTCATTATCAGTTCCCTGGGGATTGCTGGATTGCCTGAGACTTCAGGATAGAAATTACGCTTCTGTAAAGTATACCAAAGGACAGACACAAAGCATCTAGCCCTTTCCTGGGCATGGCCTGTGAACTCTTGAGAGACAGCTGCAGACCTGCTGGTATGCCTGACCTTCTATGTGATGAGATCATGATGGGTACAGGCCCGGAGTTGTTTAAGGCCCGAGTCATGTGTCTGGAGGAAAGCCATCCCAAACAGACGGCTAATCTCAAGAAAAGAGAATGGAGTTTACACCAAACACAGCCAAGAAGTACATCCTGATTCCTTGTCACTCAACTGTACAATTTGCACACGAACACACGACCACCTGCTCTCCACGGGCCATCATTTCACCTCCTGATGGAGCCCAGCTAAGCACGACTGCTTCCCCAGCCAGTACTGGATGTAAAGAAGTTAGTGCAGACCTCTCGCTACCCTTCTTCAATCTTACTATCCCTACCCCCAAGCACTGAGTAAGCCACCCTCTTTTCCTCCTCTGTCACACGAGTCACCATCACGATGACCCTGGGCCAGGCCTGGTTAGCTTCTCCCAGTCCTGCCCAACTAGCTCCTCACCACACACACACACTGTAGCTGTTTTTGCTAACCTACACAAGGCCAATGTGGAGGGATGGATTTTTACTTCTAAAAAGTTTAATTCTGGCAATTCCCAACATCTATTCATGTCACAAATACCTAGTATGTCACCTTCAAGTGTCCTAGCATGAAGAGGGTCTTTAATTCTAAAACAAATACTATAGGAGTCACAGTGATGCAACTGTCACTTGACTGACCCAGATTACTGAGAGGAACTGTGAACACAAGTAAGGTGAACCAAGATGGAGTTTCAGGGGATGCAATATTTAAGAGTCTTTAAAAAAAATAAACCCTTCTACTTCTCCATTCCATGTAAAACAGAAATGAATTCACAAGGAAGAAGATGCATCCCAAGAGACACATTCTATTCTAATAAAGTTTTAAGCAATTCTGTATCAAAGTAACTGGATGCAAGAATGAGTTTCCCTCAACTACTGCAAACCCAGTTAGAGAAGCAGAGGCCTGTAACTAATAAACATGTTACCTTAAACTATGTGAAAACTCAATAAATGTTTTGAGGTCAACTAGGAGTGCAATCCAGAAATGAAAGCAGAAGCCAACACCTCCTCAGCAAAGGACATCAAAACCTGCCACATGGAAAAGGGCTGTGTGGGGACAAGTCAGCGCCTCACATCTTTGTCTCCAAGGGTCTCCAGCAGCAGCAGCAAGATGGTCTTGAAGTGCTCCTCCCAGACGCCCAGGCTGTCTTCCCTGGTGATCTTGAGCAGCTCTAGCAGGGCACCTTTCCGCTCCTCCACCCGCTCGTTGTGGTTGGACAGTTCTTTCAGCAGGTCAGCCACCAGGTCAGAATGGTCAATGGGCACTGGGGAAAAACACATGACAGATGTCACCTCAGAAGGAAACGCTGGCCACAGGGCTCCTGCAATCCTCGCCTTCTCCCCATATCCTGTGCCTTTCCCTTTGTGCTCTCCCCCAGCCCTGCAGACCTTCCCAGGCCATGACAGCTGTCCAGTGCAGTTCTTGGTGTCTCTGCCTTTCCTTGCCATCTTTTCCCTTTAATTTTAGACAGAGAAAATACTAGATCCCTCCGAAAGTCCACACCCAACCAAAAGCCTCTTCTTGACTGCATTCTTTTCCCAAACTCTGTTCCACTGCAGGACTGACCCACTCCAGTACACCTGTATTCTAGGTCACCATCATCTCTAACATGTTCCCTTTGAATGTCCACAGTTTGGGAACCAGCACAGTGAACAAATATCAAAAAAGGTGTCTGCACTATTTAGAGACTGTCTGTTCAGACGGGACAGCCTGCACAAGATCACTTAGAACAGTTACTTGCAAGGCCCTGAATCATAGAACCGGTAGAAAGACCTATCCTTTCTCTTTCCATGTTTGTTTAAGAGACTCAATTCTGAATATGCAACTTTAAAGAGAGAGAAAAACAGACAAATCAAGCAAATATAAAGAACTACTGAAATGTATATTTGCATATTTCTTTAGCTTCTGACATTAGGAAGAAAAGCACATAAGGAAGTTTAAATTGTTCAAAGAAGCTTGTCACTTCCCCCTTGCCATCCCACCTTTTTCTTTAAGCCTTTTAGTACACAGTTGGTAGATAAATAATAACTGATATTCTAATCTCGATTCGACCTTAATCAAAATCAATAATGGATAAGGTAAATGATGTTCCAATTCTACAAGCAATGAAGAAAACAGGCCACTTCTCCCAGAAAACAGTCACAGACACCCCACACCCTGAGCCCACTGCCCAGGGAACAGTGCTCGGGCAGATGCCGAGTGCCTACACACCGCAGTGGCATGGACAGCCAGCAGGGTCTGTTCTCCAACTCCTGGACCACTGAAGGACTTCTTTTCAAACCCAACATCTGTCACTGTTGATCCCTCTCTCTCCTTGTGTCTCTGAATCTGGCATATGCCCTTCCCATAGCCCTCCTCTCATACTCGTGTGATCACTGTGAGCCTGCTACCCAACAGGCTTGGGCCACCCGGGCCCTCACACTTCAGAATGTACAGAAGGCAGGCGAGTGGATGTTAATTGCTTAGCGTTATAATTTAGGGTTCTCAGTTAATTATTCACTCAAAAATAAAACAGTAGGCTTTGACATAAGACATACACACATAATTTCTTTTGTTCTTTTTTTTTGGGGGGGGGTGCGGGACTACTACATCCTCAGCCCTTGTTATATTTAATTTTGAGACAGGGTCTCACTAAGTTGCCCAGGCTGGCCTTGAACTTTCAATCCTCCTGCCTCGATCTCCCAAGTCACTGGGTTTATAGGCATGCACCACCTAACTAACCTGGCTCGGATATATGTAAAATTTTAAAAGTCACTGTGAAGTGGAAATAAAACAAGTGAACATGACAAGTGAGGTAAAAAATGATAAAAGTAAGCTCTAGGTTAAAAATATACCCTCAAACCTATACATTCTTACTCACTTGTTACTTAATAATAAACACTGATCTTTTTTCTTTTATTTTTCTGGTGCTGGGGTTGAATCCAGGGCCCTCTACCACTAGTCTTTGGACATTGGTCTTAATATGGGAGTAAGGAAAAACCCAGGCTAGTTCTACTGCGGACTACCTATGTTATATTTTATGCAAGAAACATAACCTTTCTGAGCCTCAGTTTCTTAATATGCAAACTGGGAAAGAAGGCCTCTATTTCAGTGAGATGAGTACTCTGCTCAGCACCACGCACACACGTGGTAAGGCAAGCGTTCCGTGGGATGCTACCTGGCCTCCCTCTCACCATGGCACAGCTCAGGGAGGGCTGCTTAAGGGATACTGGGAGAGAAGAGGGGAGCCTTTGAGGGTATTTCTGATCTCATTTCCATGGCTGAGGGAGCTGGGAGGGCAGAGGTCATCAAGGCCTTCCCAGACACTGTGCACTGAGCTCTGTGCTAGGATGTCCTCCCCATCAGCTCCTGCCCACTCAGGCCTGGCTTCCTCATGATGTCTCCCCAGTGGTGGAGCTAGCTGGCCTTCTCTGCATAGCTGTCCCGGCTGCGATTTTACACAGTTGGTGTGATTATTTATTCCTGGTGTCTCCATACCAGACTGCAAGTGTGCAGAGGGCCGGAACTGCTGAGGCTTTGTCCACTGCGTGCTCGCATGCCTAAGCACAGGTCAGGATTCAGTAAGTGGAGTCTGAGCCAATAACTGAACAGCACAGACCCAGTATTTCCATTTATAATTGATCAGTACGCTCAGGGATGGTCAGACAAGAGGGAAGGCATTTCTGGATGAAGTGCAACCAAGCAAAGAGACAAACCATCTCTGAGCTGCTCCATGTCATCGTCAAACACGGCCTCCTTCAGGGCGGTCTTGTCATAGGCGTTGATGGTGTCTGAGTAGGGATACGGGTTGTACTCCCGTGCACGCGGCCCTGGGAAGGCACGCGGAGGCTGGGTGTTGAGGAGGGAGGTCTTGTTGTCCAGAGCTGTCCTGCCTCCCTCCCCTTCACTGCCTCCCCGGCCCTCGGTGGCTGGCGAGGCAGCTCCTCCATCACGGGACACCTGGAACACAGCACACAGTCAGTTCCCTTCTGGGACTGTCAACACAGGTTTTCTTTGAATGCCCAGAAATACTACTAGGGCCAGAGATTTTCATTGGAAACCTGGCCACTGACAAAAGAACAGCTAGGAGCATCTCATAAGCTACTGTAAAGGGGAATACCTTTAGGATTGTTGTGTCCACCCAGTCATCCACTTACACTTAAATCTACTTTACTCTGTTATTTGGGGATTGGTTGTACTCGAGCATTTCCAAGGGATTGATTCCATGACATTCCGAAGAATCTTGGGAAGGGAAAGCCGTGCCCTCCGTGACCAGTACTCGAGGACCCTCATGTGTGACAGTGAGGTCTGTGTGTCCCAGACCAGGGTGAGGCCTCTCACAGATGCCCTGCCAAAGTCCCCCAAGAGACACTTCCAGCTGCGATCACTAAGCCTAAGGCTCTCCAGCCCCCTGGTCAGTTCCTGTATGTATCCATGAGGCTGGGCCAGACAACAGCGGTCACCTCCACCAAGGGGGACCTCAGCACCTCCTGGGCAGAGGAACTTCTCCTCTGGATAGTTCTGACTCAGGGTCAAAGAATTAATCTTTGTTATTTTCTGAGTTCTGTTTTTTTTCCCCTAAGAATACTGTAAGAACTGTCTTTGAAAAACCAAAGCCCCAGTCTTCTGATGGCCCCACACCATGTCTTGGCCCCTCTATCCCTAGGGGCCTCTCCTGAGGCACACTGGCCTGGCTAGCCCCCTCTGCAGGGTGGCACTGTAACCGAGCCAGTATGTGCTGACCAACGGCAGTGGGACAGGCTCTCTCACCCAGACACTGACTGCCAAAGTACGGCGGACATGCTCCCAGGCAGCCGGACCACCCTGGGGACTGCAAGGCAACATTTTCCTTGGGCTGCTGCTGACGAGACATCTCTCTCATTTTGTGCTTATGCACTTGCTTGTTTTTCTCATAGTTAAACACTTATAACGTCATTTTAATCACTTGTGAATGTACGATTTGGTGACATTAAATACACTCGTGATGTTGTGTAAACATCATCACTATGTACACCCAAAACCTTTGCATCATTCCCAATAAAAACTCTACACCCACTAAAAAATAACTTCCTTTCCCTTCTTTCCCCACTCCATAACCTCTATTCTATTTTTTGTCTCTATGAATTTTTCTGCAAATAAAGGGAATTATAAAATATTTTCATTTTGTGACTGTTTTGCCTGTTTTACTCAGCATGTTTTTCAAGATTCAACCAGGTATAGCACATATCAGGTTCCATCCCTTTTTAAGGCTGAATAATATTCCATTGTCTATATATATCATGTTTTCTTTATTCATGCATCTGTTGATGGACATATGGGTTGTTTCTACTTTTTGTCTACTGTGGATAATTCTGCTATGAACACTGGTATATAAATACGTGTTTAAAACCTTGCTTTCAATTCTTTTGGATATATACCTAGTGAAAAAGCTGATAAACATTTAGCTTTTAACAGCCACAAATAATTTTATACCGATTTAATTAAGATAAAGGATATAATATATGCATAGGCCTGAACAAATTAAGACTAAAAAGATATAATCATATCTCAATAGCAGTTACTGAGTAAAAGACAATTCAGAGATGATTTTAATTTTTTCTTTGCAAATTCTTTTAAAAAATAGATTGCTACTATAATGAAAACACCTTTTATTAAAGGAAAGAGATTTAAATAACTTCAGACATTTAAAAAATAATGCTACACAATCCTAGTTCTAATCACCTTTAACAATAATAAAATCTTATTTTTGTTTCATATTTATCACCCCACTCTTGGTCTATATGTGGACTTTATGCAGGGTGGAGGAACCCCAGGGTATGTAGCAGTTTATATCTTGCTTTCCTTACTCCATAAGCATTTCATGTGTGAATAAAGTTTTGTAGCCATCATGTTTAATCATATCACTAATTTATATTTATTTGTTTTTTAATAAGATTAACACAACTATTCCCCTTCTTTATTAAAAAAAAGGTTTGTTTTTTGCTATGTAAATAATGTTAAATACACAACTTTGTGGAAATAAATAATTTTCTTTTGCCGAGTTCCTTATTTAACACAGATTATTGGGTAAAGGATATGAAAATCAAATTTGCTATATATATTCTAAAACAACTATATCACTTTTCCAAGCCACCAATATCGCCCTAGTTTCTTATAATCTTTCTACCATTAAATGATGTCTACTTAAAAGCAGAATAGGACTTCAATATCCATGCCTTGTACTCTGTGATTACTCATTAGGGGGGACTTTCCTGCATGTGTGACAATCTTGTTTCTCCTCATATGAGTTGTGCTCCCACTGGATGGGACGTTCGTTCTGTGGTCCTCCCCCGTCCAGGCTGGGTCTGCTCATCCAGCTCTGGGAGACATACTCCTGACTTCTACACTCAATGCAGTTTTGCCCTACCTCAGCTTCTCAGCTAACCAGTTAGTAATTATGATGAAGATGCTGGACTGCAAACTTCCTCAACTCTTTGCAGTGCTGGGGACAGGAGCCAGGTTCATGAGACAAGTGCTCTCCCCCTGAGCCACACCCCAGCCCTACACTTTGATTTTTTTTGGCTCTACTGTTACTTTTCACTCTACCTTTTCTAGTCACATCCTCACTCAGGAACAGCCCCACCTCTGGAATACAGCAGGCCCTTCAAGTCTACTGTTCCACATCTGTGGACTCAACCAGCTATAGGTCAAAGCTATTCAGATAAAAACCCTGCATCTGTAATGGACACGTACAGACTTCATTTTCTCATCTCTATTCTCTAGACAATACAGTATAACAATTATTTACACAGCAGTCACATTGTATTAGGTATTGTAAGCAACCTAAGGATGAGTTAAAGGGTATGGAAGAGCTGTAGCAGTGGTGGACACCTGCCGGAGGACTGCAGGTTCAAAGCCAGACTCAAAATCTAGCAAGGCCCTACATAACTTAGTGAGACCCTGCCTCCAAATAAAAAATAAAAAGGGCTGAGATGCGGCTTAGTGTTTAGGCACCTTTGGGTTCCATCTGTGGTACCAAAAAAACAACAACAAAAAAAGTGATTTACGGATTCTGAGGACGACCACAGTGCATTCAGCCTCTCACCCCCCTGACTCTCTAGTCCTGTACTCTCTCATCCCAGTCCTTCTACTCCATCAGTTTGTGATAATGTGAGGCTTCTCAAGCTTTGCCCTCTTTACTTCTTCCCATCAAGCTTCACTTCTTTCCATGTTCACTGTGGTTTGTTTGGTGAAAAATTATACATCACCTAAATGTTCCAAAATGGGCCACTGGGTACACGTCCCATACACATGCTGAATTATCACGCAACCATAAAAGTTCACACAGAGGAATACCAATGGGGAAAGCACTCATGTCCTGTGCCAAGCAGGACACACAATATGATATCACCCACCCCCCCCCACGTCAGATGGGTCATGTGTTGACAACATAACTAGGTTTAGAGGAAGGCACATCTGTACAGCTCACACAATAGTGTGATTTTTTTGTCTCTACTGTTACTTTTCACTCTACCTTTTCTAGTCACATCCTCACTCAGGAACAGCCCCACCTCTGGAATACAGCAGGCCCTTCAAGTCTACTGTTCCACATCTACTGTTCTCATCGTCATTCTTATGAACCAAAAAGGAACCTAATGGCACTTTTATAAAAACAATATTACAATATTACACACACACACACACACACAAACATAGGAACAAAATAACTGTGGCTATATCTAGAGACAGCAACTTCTTTTCTTTCCATTATCTAAATATACATTGGGCATATGTTACAGTTATAACTGGATAAAGTAATCCCTGGTAGAGCTCTGTTTTCCTAGGCTCTCTACTGTATTGACAGGACTTCCGTTTCCTCAGTCAGATCCCCTCACTCCCAGGGGGGCTTTTGGAGATACCTCTCATTCTCCTCCCCACCCCAAGCCCCAAGCTTCAGAGCAGGAGCCGCAGTGGGAACACAGTCCCTGTCCTCCCCACACGCCCACCCTTTCTCCTTCCTGGCTAAGGCCAATTGCTCCACCTGGGCCCACATCTCATGCCCCACATCCTGAAGGCTCTGTATTCATGAGTCATCTGCTCCCTTCCATGGTATAAACAGAGATTTTTAGGTCAGTCTCTCCCACCTGAAAAGCCCCTTGAATGAACCCCATCTCTTCCCAGTTTCTCTATGTGCTTCCTCAACCCACTGTAGTCTGGTATCCATTCTCATCTCTGCACTGAACTATGCCTTCAAAAGCCAATTAACTCCTGGAAGAAACTGAATTTGGAAATTATAGTCTATTGTGTATAAAGTTACTTAAGATAAAAAACATGGAAGTCCAAACAATGGCCTCATTCTCAAAGAAAAGCTCTTGATTCTACATTAAAACATTTTGAAGTAAATGCATATTTCATATAATTTTGGTTTAAACAGAATTTAATATTTAATGCAAATAGTTTTAAAGAATCCATTGGCACCAATTTATTCCACCTCTGATCTGTTACCTCTTTGTCTAGAAAGTCCTTCCTCAACAGTTTGCCCACCTCCCATAACCACAGGCTCCCTGGTTCATTCTCTTGGCATCACTTGTCCTTGGGATTCTGTCCTTAACCTCACCTGGGATTTGACTCCCTGTTCTTTTCACTACCATCAGGCCACTCCTCTGCCCTCAGGCACTGGCTGACACTCCTGACTGGCATCTTGACCTAATGACCATGAGGCTTGCTTCTTTCACAGGTCCTACCGTTCACACACCCACAGCTGAATTTACTATGGCCCCAAGAGGTCACCATATCCTTGAATGGCACCACTGAATGGCACCAGCTCTGACTTCAGACTCTTCTGTTTCTGTTCTTGCCCTGTCACTTCCTCCAGAATTATTCTCCATCCTCCTCTAGTGACAGCAATCTTTCTAAAGTTAAGTGGGACCATGCCACTTCCCTGCTTAAAAATCCTTCAAAGACTCTCCATTGTCCCCAGGACAAAGTCAAGGAACAGGCTAGAAATTCCTCTAGTTTGTGGGCTCTTCTTGAGCTGACCTCTGAGGCTCTTCTTTGAAAACCTCCCCAACAACATGGTCCACCCACTCTCCATTTCAGCCATAATGAATACGAACAAACTCTGGGCTGCTCTCCTCTCCTGACCTTCACACAGGCCCTGCCTGACTATGACGCTCCTGCTGACAGACTCCTGACCGTCAGGTTACCCCAGAGGGCCATACCACCTCTGCAGCAGCTTTCTTAGCACCAGGCTTGTGGGCGTGAGTCCTGACCACATCCACTGCACCACCATCTTGTGCTTGCTAGCCTGGCTCTCCCACAAGCTCCCAGGAGGCTGGTGTCTGTTTCAGGGTCACCATTTTATGCACATAGTAGGAACAAAATATGGGATAAACAAAAGTAAACTGAGAAAAGGACATTTGATATTCTTTGCAAAGATAGTCACGGTGACTTTTCTGAATTTTTGTAAATTTGCCTTGGGCCTCTAAAAATACTTATTCTAAGTACAGGATAAAAATAACGATGAAGCTCTGTAACCTTGGTGGTCGGTGTTCAGAAGATTAAGTAACCATCAATTAATCAATACTTAGTTCTCTGTTAGCCTGAAGATACTTACGATATCACAGTCCTTTTTGCCATCGCGCTTAATTGGCTCATTCAGATCTTCTTGGCTTCGGAAACTAAACTTTTCAATGGCTTCTGTAACTCCCCTCAGAGAACTATAGATTTCTTCTGAGTTCAGGTTCTCTGTGTCATAGTCCAGCATGCTAAAGAGCAAAAATGTTTTATTTCTTAAATGGAGGCACATGCATAAAACTGAGATATGGGCATAAATCACTTAGTAATTTACAGAACAAGATATAAACATGTTTCTCTGGGTGATTTGGAATGAAAAAGAGACATCTTTGGTTAGAGTACCATCACTGGACAACTGTACATCTTCCTTGTCAAATCTGACCCCCCACACATTACATAAGCACTCAAGAACCAGTGGGAAACAACGATAACCACAAGAATGCAAGAACTCAAAGAGTGACAACTGGTGACTGAATGCACGAGGTAATGAAAGTGGAAAAACAACTTTCTCATTTTGAAGATGGAAAAAACTAGTTTGGTTGTTACTGGTCTCAAATGTACAAACTTAATTAAGAGAACTGGCACCTGGAAATAAAATACTATTACAAACAAATTTCAAGAGGAGCAGAACAAATGACTTCACAAGACTGGGGTATGTTTGCCCGTCAGCATCCAACCCCCAAAACTAGGAAGATCCTACATGAAAAAACAAGAACAAAACTACCCTGTGGCTCAAAGTCAGATCCACCCTACTAGGCTCCTGAGAATCTAACTACCAAGCTGTCTAACCCAGGAGCTTGCTGTGAACACTGCACTCTTCTAGATGCTTCTACACTGAATTTTATAGTAAAGGTGGATCTTACAAAGATGTGCTACCTTCCTGGACAGACATATAAAAACACTCCGAAAAGCAAGAAACATCTGTCCTTCAAGGAAAGCGATGTCAGTTGCTGTCCTTTGAGATGCTGAGTAAAACATGACATGAAGCAAAAATGTGAAGTCTTTTGGTGTAATGCCATTTGTCAACGAGTGTCCGTAGATGTCAGAAAAGTACACTGAAACAGAGAGGACCCTGGGAACAAAACTCATTACCATCTCTCACTGAGAATAACAAAGACCAAAAACGGGATATACTGATATAAAGAAAGCAAGCATTATTTAACAGTCAACTGAGAACAAGTCAGAAAAAAAATATAACCTAGTTTAAATGTCACTTGTTTTAGTAAAGTATTCAAGGAAAGATCAGATGAGTTAGTCTAAATTAACTTTCAGAAAGTCCTTAGCTATGTTGAGGACAGTTAGGGACATTCAGAGAATCCTTGGTGTGTGTTAGTAAATATGGATAATTATTAAGAACTAAGAAAAGTAACTCTCTGCTCTTCAATAGAGAGATAATGAAGAAACTAGGCACCTACTGTTAGGAACCCTTCCTAAGAGCAACACAACCGACCCATGCAATCTTGTAATTGAAAAACAAGTAACTTTTAGTAAGTCCCTACCTTTACCTAAAAACAGAAAAGAAAACAGAAGGTCTGGGCAGATGATGTGGAGACGTGCCACTGCGAGTAGCCAGCTCTCTGCTGGCTGGAGGGTGCAGCAATCCAGTGTCTTCTAAGGCTGGCTTGGCTTCTGCAGAACATCTGAACTCCTTCCAGAGATGGAAGCTATGTCTAAGATGGCAAAACTGGCCCAGACAGGATCGTTCTTTCTTGACAAATGAAAGAAAACACACACCCAGACTATATTTGAAGAGTTCACAAAAACACATGCCAACTCAAAGCCTTGCTCTGGTACCAAATGAATAAATGTGAACTTGAACACATCTGCAAGTGAAACTCCATCTATATTCTAACAAAAGGTAGAATAAGAACCTGAACAAAATTCAAGATATCAACTTCTTCTAAGTTCACAAGGTTGTCCCCAAGGCAGTATCCCTGGATATGCAGAAAGCACGACTGGGAAGCAGAGCCCCCTCCCAGCCCCCTTTCCTAGGAACGCTGCAATACCAGCTTACTTCCAGACAAAGGAATTTATACATCTGACCAGTACACTATTTCATATATAAAGACTGAGAATTATGACTCAAACAAAATATATATACAAGGTGTAAAAAAATGCCTTAAAATACTTTTAGTCACAATAATCAAAAAATAATAGCATAGCCCATGCAAAAGTAAAAAACAAAACCAAAAAAACTGAAAGTGATGGATGGACAAGAGGCAGTCTGGCAGAATGTCAGTTTTTTACGGGATGTCACAATATTATTTTCCATGTGTCGCTTCAGAGAATGTTGGCTTTCAGATAAATTCATGTCATGATTCTCAACCTGAACTTTCTTCAAACAGTTCATTTCAGTTCAATTGACTTTACCATTATAAATAGCCTCTTTTGAAGATAAGAAAATAAAGGATTCTGCCAGTTAATGTTCCTCCTTCTCACTTTTAATGAATAAACCCACTTCAAACAGGACTCCTTCAGGATCACTAGATTGAGCTTTGAAGTATCTCCTTGGTATGAAGCTAAAATGGTGAGCTCTAGGTGAGAGACATACTGCTTTCCAACCAGGGAACAGTTACTTTCTCTGCTGTTCTATGCTTTGGCTTGACTTGCCTTTCCCAATCAATACTAGAAGCCCTCACTTCACAGGGAGGAAGGGTCTTCCCAGGAAGATTGTTGTCAGGGAGTGGGCTTGAAAGCACTTCTCAGGGACAGCAGGAGGGCCCAGAAGCCTACTGAGAAGAGACTCCATTAGCTGCCTGCACCATGGTCTGTGTCAGGCCCTAGATGATCACAGCACAAAGTCTTTAGGTCAAAGGCCAGGTCCTGATCACCTGTAAGCACTCGGATTAAACCCCAAAGTGCTTCCTCAGAGTTCTTTAGATTAGGAAGTTATTCTATCTGTTAACAGTCATTAACCTGAGGTCAGACCATGTTACCCAATACTGCAGCTGAATACAGCTCTGGAATTGTCCTATCAGGAGTGGGGAGAAGTGCAGGGTCAAGTCTCCAAGAAGAAACAAGAAAGAGAGGAAGCTGCTTGCTGAAGCTTTCCTCTTTGTCATTTTGTAGATTAAGAATAATAGATATGGGGACTAAGAAAATCACTTAGTGATAAAATCAGTGGGGTTTTGGCACAGAGCAAAAAGATGGACACAGACTCCTTTTTAAAGTGTTATCCACTGGTGAGTTAGATCAATATACATTATTTTGTGTTTATGGGAAAGATGATTCTAGGAATGGGATGATTCTAGAGACAGCCCTGTTGGCTGGCTGGGGCTGAGGCTTAGCATGCAGGGCAATATATTGGAAGACTATCAGTAAACTGATCCAAACTACAAGGCAAGGTTAACTTAAAAAAGTGACAAATTTTGTTAATATTAAAGAGAGCAGTGTTCTCTGCTTGGCTTAAACTTGCATATCTAGAAACAGTCACCACAGGGTTCTCTGAACATTTTACAAGTTACTTTCAGACCTGTGAGAGCTTCAAAAGAAAGATGTGAAAGCATCTGTTAACCTGTATACTGTGTTCAGTTTTGTTGTTCTGGGGACATAAAAGCAGGAATGCAAATCTTCTGTGCAAAAGCTATCTGTGAAGCAATTCAAAACTTCAGACTGTTTTTGTTGTTGTTTGCTTTTTGAATCCTCATTCTATCACAGAGGGCACAAACTCTTCTTTGAAAGCACAGTGACAGCCAGACTGCCTGGTGCTCTGCTCATGTAATTACGGGCTTCTGGCAAACGACTGTCTCATCTCTGCACTCAAGAGCCCCTAATCAGGCATCTGTAGTATTACACAGATCCTTCTTGGTCCTGCAGACCTATCATCTGCCTTAATACCTGAGAGAAGCACACTTTCTTCTTCTAGATGCCTAATACTGCCACAGTCAACCAGCATCAGGGAATGTCACTCAGCACTGATGATGGGCTTGCAAGATGACCAATAGCTTTCCTGCCGGGAAGGGGTCATTCTTTAGTGAGAAGCAACAGTGATGCCATCTCTTGGGACTTCTGTCTGGATCTGCGTGCTCAAGAGTATCACCATGTGACACAGTACGTGAGAAAGGAAGTCAGTCCATGCAGTAACAGAAGGGCTGACGGCCACCTGTGAGGTTCAGGGACGCGCAGGTCTTGTGTGCTCCGGGGTGGAAAGCCTCTTGTGCCCGAGAAACCTGCTAAGGAGACTGTTCCCACTCTCAACTACCTTTCCTGAGCTGCTTCTAGGGGCTGAGCAGTGCACTGGGCCAAAATACTCGTGAGAGCAGACAGTGATGAATCTGGTCAGGTGATAAAAGGGTCACTGTCATTGTCGCTGAGACATGGCACATACTAGTTCATGAGATTTGGCCCAGGTCACACACCTGCTCACACTTCTCACCAAGGCTCTACTCCTGCTAGGCTAAGCTGAGGCAGGAATCACGGTGGAGGAGCTGAGAGGCCTTCCAAAACACCTGAGACGACCGTGGAAATGTAATAATATTGTGACACCTCAGACAAGTTTAACAGGTAGGGTGTTACCTGGGAGAGTAAGAGCGCCTGAGAGTCTTGTGGGAGGGAGCGGTGGGAATGGAGTTAGGCTGAGAAAAGGGAGGTGGGTGCTTCGATAACCCATCGGCACTCCAACCCCACAACCGACTGCAGTGATCAGAAGAGGAAAATCAGAGAGAGAAACACAGAAGGCACAGGGGAGGGAAGACGCTACATTCTAAGTGCCTTACACGCTCCTCTTTCCTTGAAAAAAGTTCTATCAAACTTAGCTGGAACAAAATTAACACTTCACCATACAGAGAAAAAGAACACATTTTGTTTTATAGTTGGTCCTTAATAAGACTGCTTCATTCTCTTCTCTGCCAACCACAGGACGCATTTACCACCTAAAAGTCACATGAGATTCCAAGTGTGCCTGTGAGAGTTTGTGAATCTGTGAGTCTGACAGTGCATGTGTGAACTATGAAAGAGAGTGTGTGTACCTGCTGCTTGAGCTGGGAAGAGCATTATAAACACTTAACACACAAGAAAATATGGATGTTCAGTTTTGGACAACTCACCAGTTATTTAGAAAGAGGAATTATTGGGCCTCGGTTCAAATGGGACCAGAGTGAGCACACCAGGGAGACTTAGAAACCATGCTATTCGGACAGAGAGCAACCTGGTATGGGACAGAGTGCTCTGAGGCTGCAATCCAATCAGAGTTCAGAGATAGGCACTTTTTTTCTAAAAGAATGGCAGAACCTTGTTTGGGGCATTTAGCCTCAGCTGGCCAGTTTAGGAATCTGATTCGTCTGCTAGTATTACTTGATATGAGAACTAAAATTCTCACTAAAATACAGGTATTTGTCTTCACTTCCCAAATGTCACCAGCTGACTCAGGCTTGCAGAGACCATGATGGAAATGTCCAAGCTCAGTTGCAATCTAAAGGGTGGAGCGAGAGACCGGGAGGCAGGAGCTGAGTTGGCTGGGAAGTGGGGTGAGAACGTGGGGTGAAGTTCATGGTATGAGGCGGGGCTTCTGTGGAGCAGTCCTGCCTTGGCCAACAGGGGAGCCCCAGCATGTGCTTTTGTTAAGGTTCTGAGCTTTTGTTAAGGTCCCTATTTTATAAGGAAAATACGGTGTGGAGATAAGAGGTCACTGTGGCATGGAGGGTCTGAAGCCCTCCAAGTCACACAGGGGGTTGGGCACTAGAGGAATATGGTGACACCCTCAAGCTGGGGTTCTGCTGATGGATGAAGACCAAACAGATGTGCCCATCTGCAAGTACAGGGCAGAGGCTCCCTGCTAACTCCTATTTTGATTCTATGGATGCTTTGGATTCTTTGACAGAAAAATGTAAAATCCACCTAAAATTACTTTCCATTGCCAGGGGACTCAGAGGTGATCTATGCAGTGCCTTTCTGCTCTACAATATATTTGCCAAGAATGTGCAGCAGTCTGGAGCAAAACCCTCACCTGCTTTGTTTTCTCGATGGGAATGAACTTCAGATAATTTCTGAAGCTCTTTGCAACTCTGTTTTTCATTTGCCATAAAATCATACCACGTAAAATGAGCTTAAACATAAATGTATTTAATAATGAAAAACACAGTTCATAAATCTCACTAAATATCAACAACAATTAGTTGGTAACAGGTAGTCATTAAAGGGATGTTTTACAAAAGTTTAACCTGTTATCGATGGCATCTCTGATAGTATTAGGCTGATAAAAATGACTTCCTTACCCATGATGTTTTGAAACTCTATCAAATTAGATTTATTCACCATTTTGGAAAGGTTCTTTATAATTACCATGATCCAAGCATAAAAATTTTGCACCAAAAAAACTGTGAAAATGATCAAAAATCCTAGTTCATTTTGACACTCAAAATTAGATTAAAAACAAATGATTGGTGATAACTTTCCCCTTAAGAATAAAAACCTAGGGCAAGGGTGGTGGCTCAGTGGTAGAGCGCTTAACTAGCATGTGTGAGGCACTGGTTTCGATTCTCAGCATCACATATAAATAAATAAAATAAAGGCCCATTGACAACTATATATGAATAAAAACATAACATGGTATGGCAGATTTTATTTCAAGAGCACTGCTCAGAAAAATTGCTGAGACTGTGTACTGCAGACCTTGTTTCTCGCCTCCTTAGAACATGGCAAATACCCATTCTCTTATTAGTGTAAGAATTCACTTCTTTTCCTGTTAGACAGTTTGTAGCCTATTTGAGTTTTTCTTATTTCTTCTAGTGCCACAACAACATGAGGCATGTCCCCCATTGCAGGACACCCTCTGTTGTAAGAAAAATAATTTCTCCTATTGAGCTCAAGTTGACTACAGTCATTTGGCTATTTCAGCACTGAATTGCAGGTCATTTTTTTTTTTTTTTAAAGAAAGAAGCTATGCAAATAATTCTCTAAAGAAGAATTTGTCCACAAGAAAATATGTAGGCCACATTTGGATTTTTAATACTGAATATAAATCTCTTAATTTCTCCTATTATTCTGTAATCCTAACAGTTAATAATTAAGATGAGGCCAATTAAAGAGGAATGGTGAGCTGAAAAAGTAAACTAAAATTTTTAATGATTTGAAGATCCATGAAGACTATTTTCTAGCCAGTTCTTTGGGATTCCACTAACAGCCCTCTTCAAAGTTTCACCTAGGCTACTAGTGTATAGAAAAATAAGATACTTAATTTGAGTTATATCTTGTGGCTTATTACCTGAAGAATGTGACACCCTAGTAATGCAATAAGTAAAAGATATATGAAATGTATATTATGGAAGAACAGATTTTGCAATTAATGTTGTAGAAGTATAACATCTAGATGAAGGCAACAATTCATACAGAATGCAAATTTCTATAAAATTGTACTATCAGCACTGGATCCTAGTCATTTAAGACAAACCATATAATTTAGATACAGATCTTAGCATTAAAAAAATAGAAAAAAGAAAAAAAAGAAAGCTGGTGGACTCCCATTCTCACCTGGGGAAAATCAGACATATGGTTCATTAGTTTCTGGCCTCAACTCTTAACAGTCTGCTTGGAATCCTGACAGCACAGACCAGACTTGGAGATTAGCACATCAGACTTCGTTATACTTATAGAATGGGGACATTAGGAGGGATACACATAAGGCAGTAGAAACTATTGCATTTCACCAAGAGAAAAATGCAAATTTGATATACTCCAAAATATTTACAGGGTAACTGAGGAAATGAAGAAGTTCAGTGGTAAGGAAGGAGTTTGTGAGATGGGATCATTTAACAATATAATTTTAAAAATATAAATTTAAAAACAAAGAGGTAAAAACTTAAAGGGAAAATGGTAGTACTTCAGTTTCATTTTAAGATCTTGGTGCCAGTAATCCTCAGGACAAAAGCCTCTTGGTTCTTACTGTGAGTGAGCCCAAAGAGCTGGACTTCACAGTGTGTGTGAACATTGCTGGTCCAGAAAAATTCAGACCTCTGGGGCCAAGTTATGGGAGGGAGTCACTAAAGCCACTATACAGACTTCTAAAGGCTCTGGTGAGATGGAGAAGTGTTATCTAAAGATGCCATGGCAAAGTGTTTTCTCTTTTGAAGTCACTGTTCCAGATTCTATAAGGCCATCGTTGCATGGTCCCAACAGGAGTCTGAATATGCTGATCCAATTTTTCTTTCTTTCTTTTTGGGTAATGGGAATTGAACCCAGAAACACTTTACCACTGAGCCACATCCCCCGCTCTTTTTAAAAAATAGTTGCTGAGGCTGTCCTCAAAACTTGGAATCCTCCTGCCTCGGCCTCCCAAGTCACTAGGATTATAGGTATGCACCACCATGCCTGGCCATGCTGATGCAATTTAATTCTCAGATTTTAAATCACAATCCTCCAGCCTGGCATTTTGCTTCAAACAGGAGAGCAACTATGCTTGGAATGGCCAAATGGTTGGAAAAAGTAGACCAGACTTAGTAAGGACTGATGATAGAGGGTCTCTCTGATTAAATAAACACCTTCAGGTTCTCCTATCACTTGGAGAACAGGTAATAAACTTCCTCATGGATTCTATGCAAACAGTACTAGATGAGCTTCTAGTTTTAAAATCTGTAAGTGTTAAACAGGGTATGGTGGCACATGCCTGTCCTCTCAGTGACTTGGAGGCTGGGACAAGAGATTGTAAGTTCAAAGACAGCCTCAACAATTTTAGTGAGTCCCTGTCTCAAAAAAAGAAAAGGGTTGGCTCAGTGGTAGACAGCCCCCAGTCCATCCCCCCACCCCCCGCCCCAAACAGGGGACTCAGAGGTGATCCATGCAGTGCCTTTCTGCTCTGCAATTTATTTGCCAAGAATGTGCAGCAGTCTGGAGTATTAGGGAGCATATAGAACTAGAAGAACATTTAGCACAAACTTCTCATTTTACCCCTTTGCCCAGGATCCCAGGTACTAGTGGAGCAAGGACTAAGAAACCATTGTCTTCTGAGTCAATACTCTTTTTGACAATAAATTTAGTCTAAAAATCCAGAAACAGGCTGCACAGACATTGGGGTCCTTTTGTTTCTTCATTTTTGTGGAAGTGAGCTTACCTTGGTGATAGACCCCCATGGGAACAGTTGGTAGGTGAGGTCAGAGGGCTGGTCCTGCTGCTGGGGTGTCGGGAGGGCGTCCGGCCAATTGTATTGCTTGGAGATCCCTGGGGTGAAAGCAGAGTAAGCAAAAGTCATCCAAATTCTTTCTATAGAATACAACCCCCCTTTTCTCTTGGTTTTTAAACTCATGTGTAAATGTGTAAAATTTGCCACAATAACTCCCTCTCCCAGAATCACAGGGCCCATTTTGAGTGCATATAAACCAAAACTGGATACAGGCATTCTTGGAGCTGAATGACTGAATCAGCTGTGTTAAAGTAACAGACATGACTGAGTATTTTGCCTCTTTTAGTGTTAAAAGGTAAGAGGGACTCAAAGAATGAGTAAATATGATCTAGTAAAAATTTAACTGATTAAACAAACTAAGAAAAAGGCTGTTATCAGTGTCAGGTTTATTCATTCTTCAGGAATATGCCAGGAACAGACATTATCCCACCTTGAGGAATACCACAATCTACAAGCAGAGAGAACAAGGCAGCTGGCTCTCCTCTCAGTGTGAGTGCTAGATATGGGACACCCAAGGGTCACGATGGGCACTGGGGCACCAACTGCAGCCAGCACTCACCACACTCGTGTTACTGGAGTTCTTGAGGTGGTTATGCAGGAGTTTGGTGGCACCATCCTGGAATGTTTTGGGCAAGGCACCAAGTAACATGGTAAATTCCGGAGTGTTCAATTCAAACAGAGAGATGAGCACAATCTGTGCTGCCTAGAAGAAAAATCAGAGTTAATTTCCATCAAAATGTTTATTAGAATTGTTTGGTTTGTTTTTGGTAACAGAGATTGAACCCAGGAGCACTTAATCACTGAGCCACATGCCCAGACTTTCTTTTTTTTTTTTTTTTTTTAAATTTTGAGACAGGGTCTTGTCAAGTTTGTAGGCTCTCACTAAGTTGCTGAAGCTGGTCTTGAACTTGCAATCGTCTTGCCTCAGCCTCCCGAGCACTGGGATTACAGGCCTACATCACTGTGTTTGACTATAAACTTGATAAACAGATAAATAAAACAATCAAAAAAATTTTAAAAGCTTAAGATTGCTCACTCCCCATCTAAGAAGTTAGACCTGAATAGGGCTCCCAGTGTAAACTAGAAAGAATAAATTTCAAATAAGTGGCTGTTCGGTTATCCTAAGAAACTTCCTTCCTTCAACCCCATTTCTCTTGACTAAGCAATACTAAGCAATAAAGAGGAGAGTTTAAATACATCTGAAAAGTAAACATGGGACATGGGGTGGTATTAAGTAAAAACGTGCTCTTTTGCCTTCTGGAAAGTGTTTACTTTTCTTTATTAATTGAGACAACACACTGCAGGACTATTACAGGACCTGCTGGCAGCAGATGGGAAGCAATTAGCTGATAAAAGAGTACCAGGTGAAATCAGGCTTTCTAGCAAGTGCTTTCTGCGGTACTGATTTAGTAGCAGGCAATATGAGTTAAAAAGCAATGCCTGAGCTAGGCATGGTGGCACATAGCTGCAATCTCAACCACTCTGGAGGCTGAGGCAGGAAGACCACAAGTAAGAGACTAGCATTAACAATTTAGCAAGAGCCTGTCTCAAAATTAAGAAGACTGGAAAATGTAACTCAGTGCTGAAGTATCCCTGGGTTCAATCCCTAGTATACCAAAAAAAAAAAAAGGCAATGCCCAAGGAGGAATTAATTAATTTACAAGGGTCTTGATTTACAAAAGCTAAGCCAAAAGAAAATTTTGGTAAATACCCGATTGGCATTTATTGATTTCTAAGAGTCGAGAGGAAGGAAAAAAATTATGAAAAACTGTTATTGTGGATACAATAACTTTTTTATTCATTTTTAATTAAGAGCATAGAGTCTTTTTAAGACTGTATTTTTCAGAACTGCAGTCATTATTTGAAATACTTTTTCCCATGACAGGAAATATTTTATAAAAATGTGCTTGCTGAGAATTCTCTGGGAAAAAGAAATACAAAAAAATACCTCAATGCTTTTACAATGTTAAAATTAATTCTAGGTCCAGTTAGGACAAGATTACTTTTGTGGCTGCAGAAAGAAAAAAAAATTCAAAGACCCAAATTAAAAAGTATCAGTTGACTAACAGAATAAAAAATTACTTTTTCAGCATTTCAAAAGCATTCATTAAAGCAAAGTATTGGGCAAAAAGCACACTATCTTTTCCCTTGATCTCCAAAGATAGTCAGTAATAGCCTTTCCACCCAAGTTAAATCACAAGTGACAAGTGTACTTTTGTGATACAGGCAAAAAAACAATATTACTGGTTGTACTAAAATATACTTTTCTGCATTTCCTTACTAATATATTTGCATCATTACATGAAGGAATCTATTTCACAACCAATTTAATGTACTGTTAACATGACTTGTACCTTTGTATAACAGAACAAATTTCAAATATCATGCAAAGTAACCTGTGTATTTAAAACATTTCATTAGATGTTAGGGAAAAAAAACATGCAGGAAAAACTACACTGCAAGGAGAAAGAATGAAAGGGCTGGAATTTTAGCAGGAAACAACATCCACATTGACAATTTATTAAAAAAGGACAGGCACTTAGATTTTGAGGACTGAAAATGGCATTTGCAAACTATAAAATGTACCAATGAATTCTTAAATAATATATCTTTATGTGAAATGTGCCATTGTCTTTAAGAGACCACATTTCTTCCCAAAATTATAGGTTATCTAATGCCACTAACTTGATGTTTTTCATGAAGCAAATTGTAAAATATGAAAGATCTTTCAGGAATAGGAGGACTGCAAAACAGCAGGTCTAAAAATTATGTAAATTCATGGCTACCTACTATGAGCAACAATTATCTCTGCGGGTAAAGAAAGTGCACAATGGCCAGGCACGCAATGGCTCTAAGCAACTTAGTGAGAACCCTGACTCAAAAAATTAATAAATAAAAGAAGAAGAAGAAAAAAGGGGGGAGGGGCTGGGGATGTGGCTCAGTGATAAGGTGGTAAGTGGTAAGGGTTTCTGGGTTAAATAAAAATTTAAAAAAAGAAAGTGCACAATAGACTTTTCACTTCTGACCCATATCCAGTCTGTTTTCAATAATTCCAATGTTGAGTTTTAATAAGAAATCAAATAGAAACAGGGAATTCTGAAACTATACCTAGTTAGACAGATGTGCTTGTGTGTGTGTGTGTCTTAGATGTATAGATGAATAAGGCTCATTTTTCAAAATGTAAATGCAAACGATTTTATATAGTTTTTAAAAGTCATTGGTTTATGGTGCTTTCTAAGTAAAATCTTTTCCTAATGAGATCCAAGCTCCAGAAATGGCAAGTATCATTTAAGTATGTTCTTTAAAAATTATATCTTAAATTGAAGCTGTACAGAGAATAAGACTTTTTGGTCATAAAATATTTTATCTATGCCCCTCTGAGATAGTGAAAAGTCAAAATATTAGAACTGGGCAAGGAAGAAAAGTGGGTTCTACCTATCATACCAACAATATGATTTTATTAAAAGAACAAGTCCACATATGGAGCTCCTTGGAGAGATGCACCCACAGAACAGCCTGGGAAGTAGCTCACACTCAGTGCAGGTGCCAATGGTGGGATGCCCCATGTGCACCCTCTACTGCTGCCTCCACCTGAGGCTAGATGCAAAAAGTTTCAGAGTGCAGCTGGCTTTTTCTAATGGACAACTCCGGGGCAACTTTAAGATCAAATGCAACTTTAGAGGAAATGATTCTCAGTCACACCCTTATAGTGGGATTTGGGGGCAGGATGGGAAAAAAGGTTCTTCACATCTTAGTGATATGGCCTGAAGAGAACTCCTGGGCTGCCAACTGCCTTGAATGCTGTATACCTCACTGCAGGAAGAAATTCTTCCTAGCAGACAGGATGTAGATGAAGCTTTAGCAAATGCTTCAGTGTTGATATTAATTTGGGGAAACTTAAAATTTGGGAGAAAAAGCAAAGAGTTTTCTAATTTATTAAACATCTCTTTATTGCTGGTTTCAGAGGTTGTTATTAAAATTGCTTCACAGATCACCAAATAAAAGGTATTTCAAAACCTTCAGACCTTCCTCATTTAGTATCTCTCCTTTTCACCATCCCATTGAACCATGGTGTGGTGGTGGTCTACAGTCAACACCACTGTCCTGCTGGAAAGGTGGTTAATCAGACAACATCCCAACATCAACAATGAGACAGGAGCACACACACGCTCACACAGTATTGTATTAATTTTTGATTCTTCAAAATCTTTCTGGTAACTGGTATTAATAATCTAATAAACACAAACAATGAAGTATGCTGTTTGGAATTAGTACGCGGTTTCCGGTCTACCTGTTTACAATTTTCTTCCAAGTTTCCTTCTCCAGGCCCAGAACAGGTGGATGCTGACCTAGTGGGGAAATCCTCCCCTACTCGACTACGCTGAAGCGGGGACTGGCAAACAGGAAAGTGGGAGGGGAGGGGATCAGAGAGAGGCAGAGAGTGCTTAACCAAGCCGGCTGTAGGCTGGAAAAGCAATCTGGCTTCTTACATGAAATCACCGAGGCATATAAAATCAAAAGTTGGGAATAATAAGAATCTGAGACCCTCAATCATTTACTAGGTTCTTTATTCAATGATTCCAAACCTTCCTGGAAGCAGGAATACTCTCGTTTCATATGATGAGGTGGAAATTCAGAGGTCAAAATAAGGCTTGAGAGCTGTAATTAAGTGGAAACTGAAATCTGATGATCAAACCCTTAGCTTTTTGATCAGGCTCTGCTGCCTGAGAGATTTTTTTTTTAAAGTCATTTAGAAATTTCAGCTTTAAGGCCATTTATATACTTTTTCTGTTCGAGTCTTTATGCTTCCTAGGTTTCTTTGCCATTTCTCCATTTCCTGAATTTTTCGAGTCAACACGTGGGGGCTAGGACTTACCAAATAATTATGGAAGAATAGGGTCAATCCACTGAAAGAGACACCAAAGCCTTGGTAGGCAATGTGAGGATGGTGCTCATGTATACACCTACGCAATCTTCTCCCCTATGTGCACTGTGGTGCTGAGAGCCATAGCTGAGAGTTGGAATGAGGCATGGCATTTTTGCCAGAATGGAGTGGTTGAGAGCAAGCCATTGAGATGATAATGGTTATGTTAAGCTGTGTATTCAACTGTAGATTAGACCCCTGCTGTTCACCTTGGCCTGCTACTCTCCCGGGAATCTGGAGTTCTCACGAGGATTTCCCGATAGTTCCCATTGGTTGAGTAAGTGCGGGAGGAGGGATTTCCGGAGGAGGGAATTCCGGTTGGTGTGTGGTGTGTCAGGAGAGAAGGCCGCGTGCATGGGAGTGCGGAGAATAAAGGAGTTCCTGTTTTGAACCTACAAGGCTGTGTGGCGGCTCGGTTATTTTGTGCCCAGCCAGACTGCGGCACTGTGGCAGAGAGATTTTGGGGATATAATAAGGCCCCTAATTGGTTGACTCTTGAGTTAAATCAAAGGGGAGAGTAACCTGGGTGGGTCTGATCTGATCAGGTGAGTCCTGACAAGGCTGGAGAGATTCTCCTACTGGCTTTTAAATTTTTTCCTTAACTATGAAGATGAGTTTTGCTGAACAGCAAATTCATGGTTGACGGTTTTTCTTTCAGCACTCTGAATGTTATCCTACTGCCTTCTGTTCCCCAGGGTTTCAGATGAGAAATCATTTGCTAATCTTACTGAGGATGCCTTGGGCATGATGCCTTCTTACTGCTCTCCGGTTTCTACCTTTAGCTTTCAAAAGTTCCATCTGAAGTTCCTAGGGGTGAATCCTTTCCTTTCTCCCTCTCCTTTAATTCTTACTCAGAGTTGGAACTGCTTAAGTACAAAGATTAAAGTTTTTATCCATTTCTGGAAATGATGTCTTCAAATATTCTCCTGCTGATTAGGAAGTAGCACATGTCCTGGTGGGCAGCATGCCACAAGCTGTGAATGGCCCCTCTGTGAAAGCAAGAAAGCAGGCTCCTCAGTCCTATACCTGTGAGAAACTGCACTCTGTCAAGAACAGAGCCTTAGATGAGATGGAAGCCCCCGATAGCAGCTGTGTTTCAGCTTGGTAAAAGTCTAAGCAGAGGACCCAGAGAACACACGCCAGACTGCTGACCTACAGAAACTGAGAGGTCATAAATGTATGTGGTCTCCAGTGGCTAGGTTTTATGGTAAGTTGTTAGTCAACAGAAAACGAATGTAGAAGCCAAAAGAAGAGACTATGGCTTTTCAAGTATAGCTTCAAAATGTCATTTGAAATGAGATCATTTCGCTGTGGGTGTTTGTATTAGTTTATTGAATATTATTTTACTAGATGCCTACTGTGTTAGTCAGCTTTGCATCACTATGACAAAACACCGAGATAAACAATTTATAACAAGGAAAGGTTTGTTCTGGCTCCCAGTTTCAGAGGTTGCTGTCCATGGTTGGTTACTTGGCCTGCTTGCTTTGGGCCTGTAGTGGCACAGTTCATCATGGTGAGAGAACACGGCAGAGGTAACCTGTTCACCTCATGATGGCCCAGAATCTGCTCCAAGGACAACCCCCGATTACCTAACTTCCTCCCACAAGGTCCCACCTAAAGGTTCTACCACCTCAATAGTGTCATAGGCTGTGAACCAAGGGGTCTATGGGGACATTCCGGATCCAAACTATAACTCTGTGGGTATTATACTGGTGCTCAGCATGGAGGGTGACCAAGACAGTCTCCAGTGTTCAACTTCCTCAGAAGTCTCTGCTTGGACACGTTGGTCTACTCTCTGCTCCCACACAAACCTCATCTTTTCAACATAGACACTGCCCTTCTCCAAAGCTCACCACTTAGGAAAATCTCCTCCATATTTTATGATGAAAGATGAATCCTGTTCTCTAAGAAGCTTTCCCTAATCAATGCAACACGCATTGAGTTGACAACAGACAGAAAACCAAGCAGGCTAAAGGAAGACTTCAAGGGCCCCAACCACTAGACGGGGCTCACAGACAACAAAGGGAATTAGGGAAGGCTCTAGGGAACAGCGAGGCCGGGCCTACTCCTGAAGATACTAAAGAACTAGGCTGAGCAGAATAGAATTTGTAGTAATCAGGTCAAGACTACTTCGGCAGTCTGTATGTCTTGAAGTTCAATTCCAGGGCAATGGTCTAAAATAATGGACCTCAGCTCTGCATTAAAAATCAAGATTGCAAGGACCCTAATAAAAAAATTTTAAAAAGCCCTAGGTACAGATTCTACACTATATCAATAAAATCAAATTGCCTAGGAGTGGAGACCAGAAATCTAGGGTGATTTTAATTTGCAGCCAGAACTGAGAACTACTGATCTAAAATTTCTCAAATTTCTCTTAAGGGGCTGAGGCTGTAGCTCAGTGGTAATGTGCTTGCCTCGCATGTGTGAGGCACTGGGTTCGATCCTCAGCACCACATAAAGATACTGTGTGTTCACCTACAACTAAATAAATATTTAAAAAAATTTTTCTCTTAAGATCAAGACTACTGTACCTGAACCAGAAACTAGCTTTAAGCTAGATCTAAAGGGAAGGAAGTAGCCCTCACAATGGGATGAGGGAGAAGCAAGAATGCAGTGGGAACAGCACACCAAGGGAGACAAGGCTTTGTGAAATAACAGCAGATAATGCAAAATAACTGAAAATAAACTGTAGATTATTCAAACAGTAAATGGACCATGTGATCACTTGCAATAAATCTAATTTTCTAGTCATATTTGACCTGTGTTAGCATTAGAATAAGCTGCAATTTTCTAGAGCCCCAGGCTAAATAATTCAAGGAAGGAAGTTCCTGCAATGTCCTGATTAGAAAAGAACAATAAATCCTAGTTTAGATTTTCTAATGTGCATTTCCATGGCAAGCAGACATTAGGTTCAAATTTGGTTACTCGCAAACAGGCCCTAACTACAGCAAGATGCAAATCTAAAACACATTTAGGCCCATGTAGGAAATACTTACAAGGAAGATTTGCCACTAAAGCACATCCTCACACTGACACAGACAGCTGTGGTTTGAGTAGCTTTTTTTTTTTTCCACAGTAATTGAAGGTTTGGTTCCTAGAGTGGCACTACTAAGAGGTGGTTTACCTTTAAAAAGTGGGGCCTAGGGCTGGGGTTGTAGCTCAGTAATAGCTTGCTTAACACGTGTGAGGCACTGGGTTCGATTCTCAGCACCGCATATAAAGAAAGATCCACTGACAACAAAAAATATGGAGGGGGAGAGGGAGGAGGGGGAGGAAGGGGGAGGAGGAGGGGGAGGAGGGGGAGGAGGAGGAGAAGAAGAAGACGAAAAAGAGGAGGAGGAGGAGCCCAGTGGGAGATCCTTAGGTTATTGGGGGCATGCTCTTCAAAGGGACTGTGGGTCCCTAGTCTCCGTCCTCCTGTTGACTTTTAAAGCAAATAAAATCATCCAGCCACCCAACTAGTTTATTAAATGTTATCAATGAAAAAAAAATTTTTGATAAATGTTAAGATATTTTACAACAGGATCATGAATGAAAAATATTAGTTGATATTAGATAATAATTTGAATGAGCGCTTTAAAAAGATTTTCCCTTGTTCCTTTGACAATGAGCAAGTTAGTTTATTGCTAAGTAACAGACAGTGAGAATTAAATGGACCATGATCCTTTCCTTCTAAAGAAATCTCTTAGATAATTCTTTGGTTCTTCTCTTTGAACCCCGTAAGAGAGTTCAGTGTCTATTTGCACCAGGAAATGCACCAATCATGCTGAACTCTGCTTAGGATCACCCTTCCCTTTTCCCTGTCTGGATCCAGGTGGTCCATATTTTCCATCCTGCCCCAAGGCCAAAGGGCTACTGGTAGGGATGGCTGAGGAAGGAGTAGAATACAGAAGAAGAAAATGCCAGGTTGTAAGTTCACACAAATAACCACCTTGGAGTTCTGAAGGCAGAACTGAGAAATTTGGGCTTTAAAAAGCATGAAAAGCAAAGCTTTTATATAAAGTAAAAGTTTGTAACAACCACGTGTGAAACCCAAGCTTTGGAAACACCCCTGATAAGAAATCTGAATTCTGTCCCCACGCCACTCCATTTCCCAAATCACAGACAGCATGTTCCAAATGTGGCATATAACTAGATGTTTATTTGCTCTTCCTAAAGTGAAGAATCTGTTCTATCTTATCAAACTTTTCAACTACAGGCACCTCACTTTACTATCAGGCACCCCACAGCCTGCTAGCCTCAGATCTACAATTGCATCTTCAAAGCACAAGTCAGACTGTTCAGTGTTCTTGAAAAAGACACTAGACTGCTAGTGCTTTCATACCACAAAATGATAAAAATGGACACCTGGGAAACCATGAACCCATCAGATTTTTCTTGTGATAGTCAAACACTGGAAATGGACATAACAGGAAAGAGAAGAAGAAAACCTTGCTTTTCATAGAAAAAAAGTGGTTGTGTGTGTGTGTGTGGGGGGGGCAGTTTGCACATTTCTAAATGAATTTCTGGTTTCTAATACATGCCTAGGACAGTCTGTAATTATACTTTAACTCTCTCGGTCATACCTTTCTCACATCTGAACTCTTTGGTTCTGTTGTCCAGGTAATGATTCTAGAAACAGCAAGCCTCGTCTCGCTGGAGTTTACAAAATCTGTTGGGTCCATCTGTCTGGCCAGAGACTCAATGTATTTCAAGATTGCAACTTTGACCTGAAAGACCAAATAATTATAAGCATTAAGTATACTCAACCAATCTTTAAATAGAATTCATAAGTGGTGGCCACAGAAAAGTAAACACCATTGAGGGGAAACTCCCTTCCTTTGTCCTACACTTATACTTCCACATGAAATAACATCCTAATCCTCACAAGTGTTGCCGGACACTTACAGGGCAGCTCTGCCACCAAATGAGAGGGCAGGCTCAACTCTGTAGTTAGTTTTTCACACATTCCAGGCCATGTCCGGCGAGGCAAGCTCGTGCTCTACTCTAACTTCTATATCAACTCGTCAAAAGGGTGTTCATTCATTAGGCCCATAGTGAAACCTCAAGACAAATTCATGATCCAGGAACAGATGACGAATATGACTACACACATCTTCCCTCACTGTACAACAACAAGAAAATTTAGTCAAGTTATTATCAATAAGATGATTTTCCACATCTTAGAGAGTGATAACATTAAAGAAATATTCCAACAAGATGCTGATCTCAGCACATCAGAATGCTTAATTTTCTTGTTTAAATATTAATTGTGAAAAAGATTACTAATGCCCAAATGATGGTGAGGATGTGGAACAACAGAAACTCTCATACATTGCTGGTAGAGATGTAATATGTTATAATCATTTTGGCTTCTAAAAAAGCTGTCCATGCCTACTTTATGAACCAGCAATTCCTTTACAAGGCACTAAACCAAGAGAAATGAAAACATGTCCACAGAGTGGAAAAGGAATATTCACAGACTTCCTAACTGCTAAATACGAGTCATGTATTAAAAAAGTAAATTTTAAGCAACGTTTTGAGTTCCTGGGGTTGAACTGTAATGACGAATAGATACTGACCTTGAGGTTTGGAGTCTGAGTTTGATCCACAATAAATCTCATCAAAATGTTAAACTGTTGATCAAATGGAAAGGAGTCCCTAGATTAAAAGAAAAGAGAGTGCTTGCTTTTAAAGATATTGAAAAAAGGAATTGTCAAACTACATAACAAAAACATACTGTTATAAATTAATATATGTAAATGCCTATTTACGTTCTTTAAATAGTACTTTTCGTTTTGCACAAATACCAAGTACATATTTATATAGGAAATTTAAGAAAAGGAAAATCTTCCACTAAAGTTACTTTGAGTAGCTCTTTTAAAGATTAAGACCAAACAGAAAACAAGGCAGTAAGGAAGATTCCTCCTGTCCTGCTCAGGGTCATCCTCTCTTCACTCCAGCTACCTTTCTGAATGCTGCTTACCCGAGAAACAGTTCCGATTTCCCAGATCTTATTTTTACAACCCCACTATGCTGCTTCCAGGTGACCTGGCTTAAGCCAAATGTCTGTTTTCTTTGTCCTGGAAACTGCCTATGATCCTATTTTGGTCTGACCACCATAGAAGAATGCCTGTTCAAAACTCAGCGACAGAAATTCCCCACCCAGCTCAACTCACACATAGAAGCCTGGGGCCCAAGGAGCCCCTTCTCTTGTTCCATTTCTTGCCTGTGAATGATCCATTTCTCATAGTCATTGTGCATCTCTGAGCCAATTAAGTGACCCTTAGGGGCTCCTGGCTAGTGAAAGTCAGTGCTCTCTCCCTTAAAATGTGGCAATTAATAGTACCAGTTAAAAATTGCCTAATGGAGCACTATGTGGATAACGCTGATGGGACTTCTACATCAACGGGAAAGATAATGCAATCGGCAAGTCCTATTACAAATGAGGCTGAGTGGTTACATTTCTTTCTTTGGAACCTTTTAGAAACCTTTCCTAGTCTATAGAAGTACAGTAAAATGAATAAAAATGTAGGTGTGAATCTACAAATATTTGAAGCAAATAATATCTATGATCACAGAATTGTTATGAAAATTAAAATAAATGATATAAGAAAAATATCAAGTTTTACGAAGTGGTGCATATTAGGTGCCACCATTATCAGTATCATAATTACCAACAGAAAGCAAACCTGACCCACAGCACCCTTTCCTCTCATGTCTATCTGCACCCTGGAAGTTCTGAGGACTGCTTCTGGAGACCAAGTGCATGTCAGTTGTCAGTATACCCAACTTAAGTGACTGGTTGACACACTGCACATAAAATGCTGCTCCCTGCTTGTGCAGCAAGGGGATGAGTGGAGAATATACTTCAGGCACTGGTGTGTTTAGCCAGGAAATGCACCCTGTTGTTAGCTCAGCCACAGAGAGGAAACTCAGGCAGATTAGCTCAGGTCTAGAATCTGTGGAGCACCTCTGAGCCACCACTGAAAGTCCCTCCAAATAACCACTGGATGGTTCCAGATGAACTTCAACAGCTGCACAGCTCAGCAGCTGAAACAAAGAAGGGAATCACAAAAATACCCTAGGGACTCAGAACAAGTCTACTGAGATTAGATTTTGTTTTACAGAAAGGGGCAGCCATGAAAATTAGAAAGAGGACATACTGTATTCCTTAATTACCAAAGTTTAGTTTGCAGAATATTATAAATTATAGCCTATATGTTTTTTTGGAAATAGTACTTTTAACTTTATAGAAATCTTAAATCAACACATCCTTATATAGAAAATAATAATAAAAAGAAAATGTCCCAAAATACATATTAAAGTTACTTTGGGTAGCTATTTTAAAGATTAAGACTAAGCAGTAACCTTTAAGAGTATAATCTTATTCCTTTAAGTCCTAAATTTTCAGTTCTGCAAATGTAACAAATATTCAAATATTATTTCAAAGTTATCATAAGTGGTATATTTGTTGTTCAGTTTAAGTATTTATAGGTGTCCCACATCTGGGACAGTGGGACAAAATGATTAATATGCCCATCATTCCTAAAAATCTGAAATGGACCTTTCCTTCATAAATTCACTTAATTTAAGTGACCCAGAGATCAGATATGGCTCATACATTTTGTTTGGCCTTTAGAGGCATAAGAAATGTGTTTCCCAAATCTTTATTTCTGACCTTTTTTTAAAACTCTGGTTTCACTGGGCCCACATCCCACAGCCTGTCAATAACTCCCTTCTCATCACTCATTTCTACCAGCTGTATCAGTCTATCAATTCCTGGCCACACCTTCCATTGTAATGCTTCCAAATTCCATTAAATTTGATCATCCAAAGAGAGAGTCTAGTTTGAAAGTCTTATTCTGAATGCAGCATGTTACTTTTGAGTTTACAGGAAATCAGAAGAAAGATATTTTATAACGGTACAAATTAGAAGGTTAACCAAAAGAAAAACTCCTGGCATCAGAGTATGGAGGGACAAATGTATGCAAGGCAGCCAGAGTCCTGCACTACCTGCATGGATGGGGACGGGGAAGGGCATGTGCTGTTGTTAGTGGTGTGAACTGGACAGAAAATAAAGGTACAAGCACTACCTCTACCCCACACACAGGAAGGGAGGACACATGCCTACAGAGCAGCCTGGAGTCACAGAAGCAAAGAGAGGAGCAATGATCAAAAATCCTGGATGCTAATTCCCAGATGGCCACTAACACCAAGTGTGAGCCTGGGCAAAGTAGTCTGCTTCTCACTGATGATATGAACATCATCTTTAAGGTCCTTAGTTTAAAAATTTCTATTATTTCAGTTTATAAATAATAACTGGGTCTTATAAGCTGAATATGGTGGCACATGTCTATAATCCCAGTGACTTGGGAGGCTGAGAAAAGAGGATCACAAGTTCAAGACCAGTCTCAGCAACCTAGTGACACCATCAACAACTTAATGAGACACAGTCTCAAGACAAAAGGTGCAAAGGTGCTGGGAATGTAGCACGTCTGGGTTCAATCCCCAATACCAAAAATAATAATTATTATCATGAATATTGTTATGGGGTCTTATAAAAGTTACTGCTCTGAGGGCTGGGGATAAGCTCAGTTGGTAGAGTGCTTGCCTTGCATGTACAAAGCCCTAGGTTCAATCCCCAGCACCACCACCAATAAAAAAAAAAAAAAAAAGTTACTGCTTTGATGATAATTTTCTGAGTGATCCAGGAGTCATTCATTTATTTATTTTTACATTTATTTGTTTCTTTGGTGCTTTACCACTGAGCTACAACTTTAGTCCTTTTTAGTTTTTAAGACAGCATCTTGATAAGTTGATAAAGGTCTCACAGTTGCTGAGGTTGGCCCTGAACTTGAGATCCTCTTGCCTTAGCTTCCCGAGTCACTGAGATTACAGGCATGCATCCCCATGCGCAGTTCTGTCTATCCATTAATTTATTCATTCACTCATTTTTATTTTAGCATTAGGAATTGAACCTAGGGACACTTTACCACCAAGCTATACTACCAGTCCAGTCCTTTTTTATTTGTGTACATGTATGTATGTATGCGTGTGATGCTGGGGATTGAACCCAGGGCCTTGTGCATGTGAGACAAGCACTCTACCAACTGAACTATATCCCCAGCCCTGTACTTATTTTTTGAGACAAAAGTCTCATTAAGCTGGCCTCGAATCTGTGATCCTCCTGCCTTAGCCTACCAAATCACTGGGATTACAGGTGTGTACCACATCTGGCTCATCTGTTCTTACTAAAAGATTCATTAATCTGATACATCTCTCTCCATTTCCCACCAGATGACAATGCCAACATTATTGCAAAGTGTCTTCTGAGAACACTTAATTCTAACTCTTTATACTGAAGATCTATAATGGCACAGACAAGGGAGAAGAGGCTTGTGAACATAGTTTTTAATTTTTTCTGAGCCTTGTAGCTTCTCTTTCCTCATAACAGCTACAAGGCTTACAACTGTTGTAATGTTTATCCAGGAACCAGTCAATTTAAAGACAGTTTCTGAACCAACAACATCTCAACATCATACATTGATAAATTTCCAATGTGACTTAAAATAAATTGGTATTGAGAATACTAAGAACTTCAGAAAGATATGTATATTCTAAACATTCTCTTTAAATATTTTATACAGGAAAGATAATAATTCTCAAAGTTTTACATGTGTCTGAGGCATTCACAAAATACAATGCCAAGTCAAGGAAGATATGGGTATTTCATCTCCTGAACTGTTGGGACATGTCGACAAAAGTCAACAAGAGAACTTGAGAACTGAGCAAGAGAGAAGAGATTTGAGTGGGTGACAAAGACCATGAGTAACACAAGACGTTGCCAAGAAATCACAGTCGAGACTTGTAACAACATGGCTGAGCCCCTTGACACTCACCTTGTGACATCTAGGGCCTTCTGAACTTTTGCTTGCACAGAGCCAAGTAAATCTGCTCCCATTTTCTTAAGTAATTGTGTGAGAAGGACAAAAAGCCAGTCTTGCAAGTCATCCTTATGAATTATTATAAAATCCACTAGAGTCTCCAAGAACATACTGAAAACCTGAACACAAATGAAAACCAAGCATTTCACATGTCTGATTCATGATTTTCTCCAAAGAGTAGAAAGCATTAAAAAGGCCCATGCTATTTTACCCAGACTCTCGTCATTTATGTGAACACTGTTAACAACCGCTCATATTGCAAAGGCAAATGCATTGTGGAAAATGGAGAAAGGAAAAAGGACTGACACTTACTCTCTGTTGTGAATTCCACCGCAAACCAGGCCATGCAACAAAACAAATTCCATGTTAGTCACAGTGAATATCATTTTCATGCAGTTTCTTTAAAAATCCTGAAAAAGCTACAAACTGATAAAATACTTGCTCCTCCCTCAATATTAGCCTATAAAAGTTAGTACAAAGAGGAATGAATTTTTCTGAGTTTAATCCTAGAGGCTTTAAAAAAAGAGAGAGAGAAAAAAAAAAAACTCAACTGTCCTAATTCTATACTATTCTTGCTCATTATTGAGTATTCATGGTATAGTATAAGATACAAAAAAAAGCCATTCCCTATTGTGTAGCTATTGCCTTTCATCTTAATCAGCTCTTTTGAAGTATGCCAATTTCAGATATTATGAATAAAATATTATAATAAATGATAATGACACTTCATGTAATTCTTGTACTGCTGTGTAATTATCACAGATATCTAAGGTGAAACAGTCCACAGTGGAATATCTGTGAACCAATTTCAGAGAGATTAGTAGCACCGTGTTTCCCTACCTCTTCAGTGAGCCTTGCTCTACTGGGACAACCCACCAATCACACACCTCCTCGTTTCTAGTGCAGCAACTGTTCACCACCAGGGGTCTCCAGTGAGTCAGCTCAGGAAAAAAAAAAAGCCAGTGGCCCTGGCTGTGGGATTCCTGGCTTCTCTCACAGACAGCTAATAAATATCAACTAAACTGAGACCTCCAAACTCACTGGACAAGAGCCTTCTGATGATAACAAATTTCCTTCTTTATCCTCACATTCTGCTTCTGAATCAGCAATCTAGAGGTAACAGGTAACAGAAATTTCATCAATGTTCAAAACCATCTAATATCCCTTATGGTATAATTCTTACGAAATGTATTATGCTTATGCTTTAACTCTTATTGCTTTTAACATTACCTTAGAGAAAAGTGTGCAAAGATTATATCTTTGAATATCTATATGGTCTCTACACTTGACCTCTTTTGGGTTTTATTGACATTGTTAATATTATCCTTGTTGTGAAGGTTTTCCGGGAGATTTTTGCAGGGGCGTAGAGGTGGAGCATCACCCTGTATTCATTCCCTTTCAGTCTTGTGAACAAAAGGCAAGGGGCCTTATCTGGTTTTTCTGTATCTCTGGCTTATCATAGCAGGTATTCAGTAAATACCAAATGATTGGATGGATGAGTGTGTGGGTGGGTGGATGCTACTTTAAGGACAATTCCTATGAGGAAGCAAGGATAGAAAAAGAAGACGAAATACAGCTGGCTGGAATTTCACAGTATCATAGGCTGCCTTTTCCCAGCAAGAATTAGAAGAGACCATTTTTTTACTAGGGAAACTATAGTGTAATATGGTTAATCCTGCAAGTCAGCATTTAAGATCTGCTTCTGCTGGTTTAGAGTTCCATCAATATCTATACTTTAGTTTCATCCTTTATCCACTTTTGAACTTTCCCTGTATCTTCATCTTTCCATCTTCTTCCTCTGAACACATCTAATAGCCTTTAAAGGCTTCCTTCCAAACAATGATATTTATTTAAAATCTAGACTCTAAGTAATTTTATAAAGTGTCCCTCTCTCTGCATTTCCCCTAGAATGGGCCCTGTCCCACAGTCATGCAGGCACTCTCTTGTCAAAAGGGCCCAGTGTTTCTTTTGGCCCCCAGGAGGTGGGGGCCTCAGCTAATGGTGACCACCATATAGCAAGTTCTTGGGAACAGTGATATTCTATTTGGAAATATAACCTGGTTTTCCAATGAATCTATTCAATAAATACTTCCATTTTCTACCTTGTCCTATGAGAACAAATACTAAAGTTTACAAAAATAATTACATACATACTTTTTTCACTACAACAACTTTAAAAAAATGCACTATATTATACAATCTTCTAATCTAGCACTTGGCCCACTATTTAGCTAAAAGAGGAACACAAAAATTAAAATGTTTGTTGAATGAATGAAATACTATTATCTGAGTCTCTTTCCATGAAAGCTTTCACTTGAAGCTTGAAATTTATGAACATTTACGTTCTGAAGAATTCCTTTTTATTTTTTATTTTGCAGTACTGGGTATTGAACCCAGGGTGTTTTAGTTTTTAATTTTTTCTGTAGTTGTAGATGGACAGAATGCCTTATTTTATTTATTTTTATGTAGTGCTAAGGATTGAACCCAGTGCCTCATACAAGCTAGGCAACTACTCTGCCACTGAGCCACAGTCCCAGACTAAACCCAGGTGTGCTTTGTCTCTGAGCTATGTATCTCCAACTCTTTTTATTTTGACATTATAAGATTTCACTAATTTGTCCAGCTGGCCTCAAACTTGGGATTCTTAGATTTCAGCCTCCCCAGTAGCTGGGATTACAGGTGTGCACCACCATGCTTGGTTAAAAATTCCATTTTTGAGAGACAAAACACATGCTATTGCAGAAATGGGTGTTAAATTTGTAAGGCTGAAACTCACTGGGGATTTCTCTTTCATTCTTGGGTATTTTACACAGCTCTCACACACATGCAGATGGAAATATAAGTCTGATCCTAGATTTACCTTGCTATGAGGGTCAGCAAACATTCGGGTGAAGATCTCACACAATCTCTTCAATTCTACTCGACTAGAGGAAATAAAATAGAAATAAATTAATTTAAAATGTAAAAAGTCATCACTTCAATTATAGTTTGCTTTTAAAAATCCTTTGGATCCTAATAGAACCTAATCCAATAATACTGGGTGATTTCAACACACCCCTATCACCAATAGACAGGTCATCCAAACATAAAGTCAATAAGATAATTCTGACATAAATAATATTATATACCACATGGACCTAACAGACATCTACAAAATATTTTACCCCAAACAACTAAATTCACTTTCTTCTCAGCAGCTCATGGAATCTTTTCCAAAATAGACCATATTACAGATCATAAGATAAGTCTTAGCAAATATAAACAAACTGACATCATCCTGTGCATATGATCAGGTCATAATGAAATAAAACTAGAAATCAACAGCAAGAAAATTCACAGAAACCACATAAACACAGTGAGTGAACAATATTCTTTTAAATGAAGAATGGATCATAGAAGAAACAAGAAGAGAAAGCAAGAACTTCTTAGAAAAAAATGAGAACAGAGATATGACATATCAAAATCTCTTGCACAATATGAAGGCAGTTATAAGAGGAACGTTTTACAGCATTGATAACCATAAAAAATCCAAACAAATAAGCTAATGCTATACTTCAAAGCCTGAGAAAAAGAAGCTTAATGCCAAAATCAGTAGAAGATGCAAAAAGATCAAAGATGAAATTAATAAAATTGAGAATAAAAAATACAAAGTATCAATGCAACAAAGAGTTAGTTCTTTGAAAAGATAAACAAGATTGATAAACTCCTAGCCAAACTAATCAACAGAGAGAGAAAACCCAAATTAACAACATTAGAGATGCAAAAGGAGATACCACCACAGACACTTCTGAAATCCAGAGGATCATTGGAAATTGTTTTGAAAACTTATATTCCAATAAACTAGAAATTCCGGAAGACATTGATAAATTTCTATATACATATGACCTGTCCAAATTGAAAGAGGAAAATATAGAAAACCTAAAATAGACCAATATCAAGGTATAAAATCGAAAAAGCAATTAAAAGTCTTCCAACAAAGAAAACCCCAGGGCCATATGGATTCTTTATCAACCAGACCTTAAAAGAATAACTTAGACCAGTTTTCCTCAAATTATTCTATTATTCTCCCAAATACATTCTAGGAAGCCAATATGATCCAAATATCAAAACCAGACAAAGACACATGAAGGAAAGAAAACTATAGACCAATCTCCCTGAAGAACATAAATGCAAAAATCCTTAATACAATATTAGCAAACCACATTCACAAACACATTAAGAAGATAGTACAACATGATCAAGTGGGTTTCATCCCAGGGATACGAGATTGGTTCAAACTACGTAAATCAACAAATGTAATTCACCACATAAACAGAATTAAAGACAAGAATCACATGAACACCTCAATAGATATAGAAAAGGATTTTGATAAAATCCAGTACCCATTCATGTTAAAAACACTGGAGAAGGAATTTATCTCAACATTATATATAACAAACCCAAAGCCAACATCATACCAAGCAGAAAAACTGAAAGCATTTCCTCTAAAAACAGAAATAAGACAAGGATGTCCACCCTCACCACTTTATTGCAATATAGTTCTTGGAATTCTAGCCAGAGCAATAAGGCAAGAGAAGGAAATTAAAGGGATACAAACAGAAAAAGAAATCAAATTATTTTTGTTGGTTGATGACATTACCCTATATCAAGAAGACCCCAAAAACTCAAACAGAGATTTCTAGAGCTGATAAATTCAGCAGGATACATTCACAAAGCAATAGCTTTCCCATGCTCCAATACAGAGTCTGCTGAGAGAGAAATCAGGAAGACCATCTCATTCACAATAACCTCAAAAAATAAACAAACTTGGGGAATTAATCTAACACAGGAGGTGAAAGACATCTACAATGAAAACTATAGAATGCTGAAGAAAATGAAGACCTTCGAAGATGGAAAGACCTCCCATGTTCCTGGATAGGCAGAATTAATATTGTCAAAATGGCCATCTTACCAAAAACACAGATTCAATGGAATCTCCATCAAAATACCAATGACATTCTTCACAGAACTGGAACGTCATTTGGAAGAATAAAAGACCCAGAATAGCCAAAACAATCTTATCCAAGAAAAGCAAAGCAGGAGGCATCACAGTACCTAATCTCAAATTCTACTACAGAGCTACAGTAACAAAAACGGCATAGTATCACCTTCAAAACAGACACGAAGATCATGGGAACAGAAAAGAAGACAGAGAGACAAACCCACGTAGCTAAGTCATCTGATAGTTGACAAAGGTGCCAAAAATATGTGTTGGAGAAACGACAGCCTTTTTAACTACCTCTAGCCCTCACCCTGGATAGAAGTCAAATCAAAGTGGATCAAAAACTTAGAGGAATTAGATCAGAAACTTTGTAACTGGTTAGAAGAAAAGAGGGTCAACACTCTAATTCACAGGCACAGGTACCGATTTCTTTAACAAGACTCCTAAAGCTCAAGAAATAAAACCAAGAATCAGTAGGTGGGACAGCATCAAATTAAAAAGTTCTGCACAGCAAAGAAAATGATTAAGAATATGAAGAGAGAGCCTACAGAATGGGAGAAAATCTTTACCAGCTACTCCTCTGACAGGGGATTAATAACCAGAATATCAGAGTTTAAAAAGCTCAATGTCAAGAACAACAATAACAACAAAAACTCAACAACTACAACATCAACAACAAAATCACGATCAACAAATGGAAAAAGAATTAAACAGATATTTCTCAAAAGAAACACAAATGGCTAACATATACATGCAAAAATGTTCAACATCTCCAGCACTCAGGGAAATGTTAATCAAAATTATAGTGAGATTTCATCTCACTTCAGTCAGAATGGCAATTACCAAGAATACAAATAATAAATTCTGGTGGAGAAAAAGGCACACTCATGCACTAGTGGTAAGACTGCAAATTAGTATAATCATGCTGGAAAGCAGTATGGATATACTTTAAAACCATATGACCCAGCTATCCCACCCCTTGGTGCTTATACAAACTAAAATCAGCATACTATGGTGATACAGCCACATCAATGTTTACAGCAGCACAACTTATAATAGTCAAGTTATGGAACCAGTCCAGGTGCCCATTCATGAACAGATAAAGAAAATGTGGTATATGTACACAACGGAGTTTTACTCAGCCATAAATTAGAATGAAATTATAGCATTTGCCAGTAAATGAATAGAACTGAAGATCATCATTCTAAGTGAAATAAGACAGATTCAGAAAAATCAAAGGTCAAATGCTTTCTCTCATACGTGAAAGCTAGAGCAAAGTAAGGGGGTAAAATGTTGTGGGGGGTGGTTTTCAAATATTATAAAGACAGAGGAAGATTAGTGGAATAGAAGGAGATTGAATTGGAGGGAGGAGGCAATGAATGAACTTGACAAAATTGTGCCATGTGCATATATGAATACACTACAGTGAATTCTACCTGTATGTATATTTATAAAACATCAATTAAAAATAAATAAATGAGTGGAAAACAGACCAGTAGAACAGAGGAAGAAGAATAGGGGTAGGGAAGAGGGGAGGGAAAGAAGAAGTAATGGACAATAAAATTGACCAAATTATGTTATGTGCATATACAAATACACCACAATTTTATACATATATAAAATATATCACTATTCTTTACATTTCTCATACACCAATTAAAAAAAAGAGGAGAAAATAACTTTGTTTCTGTCAACTACGCAGCTTTACCTAATCTATATTTATGCAACAGAATTTTCCACAAATAAATATCTTATTTAATTCATGAAGCTAAAGGCATAGATTCACTCTCATTTTAAGGTGAGGAAACTGACACTTGGAGCATGATATTCCCAAGCTCACAGAAAGTGACAAAGCATGAGCCAAACCCCCTTCAACTCGACCCAGGGCTCTTTTCCATCTGCCACAGCTGAAAGGGTATGCAATAAATTAGAAAAGAAGCATGTGTTTCAGGGTCACACAGACCTGGAACCTTGATTCGACTACAAAGGACAATGATATCTTTAATCCTTCTCTTTAAAGCTCTGGCCTCTTCTCAGTCAAACAGGATATGCAGTATGTCACAAGGCTGCTGGGAAGATAACACATGGCACCTACTACTGTGCCGGGGACACAGCAAACCCTCAGGCACGCTGGTGTTCTTTACCTTTTCTGATCCCTGATTGCACTACTACCTTTTTTTTTTTACTCTGAAGCTGAAAAGAGGATCCTCTCTTCCTCAAATTATCATCCATCCTTACACAGATGAGAAAGTTGGCTCAATGACCCTTTAGTACTGTTAAAAGTACAACCTAAAGTGAATGCTGATTTCTAGAGATTATTTAATGGGTACTTAGTGAACCCTAGGAATCCAAAAAATAGAATCAGCAGGAAAAAATAAATTCTGGAAGAAAAATCATCCTCATTTTATTTTTGACAGATCACGGAATGTCATCAGAAGCCTGCATTTCAGAAGGTATATGACAGATCCTCTCACACCATCTTTAAGGACAGACGGTATAATGTGGGCAGGTGTCAGTACAGGAAGGTGGAAGCAGATGAAGAGCCACCCGGGGGGGGGGGGGAACAGCCACTCATCAGCCAGGGCTCATCAAAGAGCCCAGGATGAGCCTCACCCAAGGTCACAACATAGCCAGTCTCAATACTTATCTTTAAAAAAAAAAAAATCTAGAAGATATAGTACATTGAATTTCATGGGTTCACTTGTCCTTTTCTCAATTCCCGTGTTTTAACATCTCCATAATTGAAATTCATCTTATACTTGGTGACATAGTAACACTGCCATATTTAGTAAACAGCATTTCTCATTACTTCTTTAGAGAGACATAAAATCACAGTGTACCAATGGGGCCCAAATACGGTATAAATGCATACCTTTTTGATGTTATATAATACGTGCTTATTTTAGAAAATTTATAAAATATGTAAACAAAGCAAAAAAGAAAAATGATCAAAAAATAACGCTGTTGATTTGAAGGGCTCTGTTTTATCATCTGTTTACTCTGCATATTTATAAGCTACTATATGCTTATAAGTATTGAAAATTTTAGACTGAGACATTTTATCCAGAACCTTGAAGAGGAATACAACATACTAATTTGCAGAGTTGTTTCATTGTTCACCTGAATTGTAAACTATACCCAGATTTCTCAATAACAACATGAAATAAAAAAATATGAACCTTAAGGGAAATAAATGTTTCATAAGCCTAATCAATTATAGAATATGTGCCAGATATTTTGAAGACTTTGAATGGCAAGGATGGGTCTTACTTTTGAGCATCAACACATGGAACTTTGCAAGGACACCTTAAATGACAAGATACCCCTTTAAGAACTTAAAAACAGTATACTACAGGGACATATCCACATCAAAGTTTATAGCAGCACGATTCACAATAGCTAAACTGTGGAACCAACTTAGATGCCCTTCAGTAGATGAATGGATAAAGAAAATGTGGTATATATACACAATGTAATATTACTCAGCAATAAAAGAAAATAAATCATGGCATTTGCAGGTAAATGGATGGAGTCGGAGAATATAATGCTAAGTGAAGTTAGACAATCCCAAAAAACTAAATGCTGAAAGTTTTCTCTGATACAAGGAGGCTGATTCATAATGGGGTTGGGAGGGGGCATGGAGTATTAGATGAACTCTAGATAGGGCAAAGGGAAGAGAGGGGAAGGGAGGGGAAGGGAGAGGGCATAGGGGTAGGAAAGACAGTGGAATGAGATGGGATATCGTTACCCTAAGTACATGTATGAAGACATCAATGGCATGACTCTATTTTGTGTACAACCAGAGATATGTGCTCTATATGTGAAATATGAATTGTAATGCATTCTGCCGTCAAATATAACAAATTAGAATAAATAAAAAATAAACACACACACACACACACACACACACAGAAACCCCTTTAAGTCTCTGATGAGTTAAGAGGGGACTCGGGCATGACTCTCAACCCTGGTCTCCTGCCCTTACCTCAGTGTTCTTTGGCTCTTTAGCAAGTTCTGCAAGCCCAGCAGCCCTTCTTTCCTTTCTGACCAGTTTGAACTTGCACAATGGTTGAGAACTTCTGCTACATCCTCAGTCTGCCGCAAATAATGGGGAATGCCGCCATTCCTGGAGCCATAGGAGCGCTCAGAGCAAACACTTGAGGCATCGCTGTTAGCGTCGTCATCAGAATACATCCCATATGGCTCGTATCTCCTCCTCACAGGCTTCTTCTGATGGATCCAATGAGGGATGGAGGTGAACAAGGAAGAAATGGAAAGGTGAAATGGTCATGAGTCATATCAAATAAAAACAATAACAGAGTTAAATGGAGAAACACACACACACACACACACACACACACACTTGTCCTGTGCTTACAGATCAGGGAAATAAAAACAGAAAAGCAGTCTTCCAGGAGGAAAAACAGGTAATAAGTATCACACTCCTTAGCGGGGGTAGTGGTGGGGGAACAGGACACTGGGACACACACGACTTGGCCTCTTAATACAGTGTACAGTGTATGGGTTTTGCAGCCAGGCAGACTTGGGTTACAATCCTGGTGCTACCACTGAATGGCTGCATGATTTCAGAAAGCCTGTGAAGATTTTTCCTTCAGTTTCCTACTCTGTGCGAGGACGATATTTATGCCAATCCCACAGGCTTGCTTCGAGGACTCAGTGGAATTCTAGGCCGAATAATCCAGCTCAGTGCCTAAGACACTGCAGGTGTGTGCACCCCTGGGGCCCCGTGCAAGCTGCTTTGAACATGGTCTATGGGCAAACTTCTGTGATGACATTTCCTTAAGAAAACCTGAAATTGAAATGCCAGTGGCAGAAATATCCTATGTAAAAGAATTCTTAAACTATCTGAGCCACTTTCATTAAGGACTTTAGTTTTGCAACAAAAACAGGCTTCTTTTAAAGCAGGCTACAATATCTGCTTGATTCATTTCTCTTACTCTGAATACAAAAAACTACATTAAACCCACTAGCTATATAAAACTGATAAAAATTATAAAATACAAATTTTTCTGAAACCAAAACAGTCACCGGTTTAAGCTGTATAGATTCAATTTTCTAATAATACTAATTTTTATGAATCCAATTTGCTCAGGACTGTTTTGTCATCTGCCTATCATCCCAGCATAATTATGAATAGTACCCCCTTTTTACTATTGAAAGTATTTTTCTTTGGATGCTAAGTTATATGATCATCCCACTCACACACAAGAGTCCTAAAATAAGAAAAATGTCAATAAATCCATTTGTGAAATAATGACAATATAAGAACAGGCACAGATTGAGTTAATATAATGCAATTCTAATAGGAGACAGAACAGAGCGTGACTTTAAAATAAATGCTAACACAAACGTACATAAAAAGTGATTTGATTCCATCCCTATAAAGGCATTGGCAGATTCAACAGAATCAGAACTCAGACCAAAATTTCTACTACATTTTGTGCTGCTTTTGCTAGATTCTAAAAGAAATATACTTGCAACAGAAAAAAAATAAAGTTGTAAACAAAAGTTAAAGCACTGGTACCTTGCTCCTGGCGTCTCCTAACAGCTGTAGGCAGGAAAATATTGAAGGATGGGGAAAAAGCATAGAGAATTATGTCAGAAGCATATGTGGGGATTGTTCTGGCAACAAAAGCGTATAGCAAAACATTTCTTAGCAAACTAAAAATACAGGTCAGCAAGCGTTTCACATCAAGCAGGTAGTAATAAAGACTGCTTTTTTTCAAAATGGCATTTCCTAACCTCCTAAACCTCTCCTAGCACCTTCTGGCTATTGCTATAATTCTTTACTGAAACTCTTCCCATACCCATACCCATGAAGCACATCTCTAATGTGACTTCTGATCTACTATCTATTCCTAGGAGACTTTCCATCTGTCCCTGGGGTTTTAATTCTGTAGGCAGGAATTCAGTACCATTCCTGTGCTTTAAGCTCTTCCGAAGCAGGTCACTTGAAGAGACCAGAGTGGACAGAAAATAACAAGGGCAGCCTGAGTACAAAGGGAGCTGGGGCTCAGTGAAAAGCTCAAGTCAAGTTATGCCAAAGCTCCAACTCTCCATCTCTGTTCTGCCTCCTAGAACTTTGCACACAGTCCCTTATGCAGTTCTTTAAACAACTAAGAAAGTCCTCAGCCTTAACTGGAAGTCCCATTTAGTAAGGGTTTCAGCTTCCATTGTTTCCCACTCCTCTGACCTCCACTTCCTAGGATCTCTGAACAAATAAAAGACGGATTCTAAATGCTGTAATTTGGAAGGAGAAACAGCTTCAGAGAATTCTGTTCCAGCTCTTGACTCTTAAGTTAAAGCCATGGCCAGAGCAATTACCCTGAACTCCAATACCTGCCAGAAAAAAGTTCTACATATAAGGGTGATGAATAGAGCTGGCCAGACCATCTGTCTACCAGGAAAGCATTCTGAGAGCAGCAAACTGCTTGCTCACAGACATTTGTACAAGAAATCATCTGACTGAGCAAGAATAAATGAAGGAGAGACAGGAAGGGATGAAAGCAGGAAACTCCACAGCCGCAGACTATAAAGTGTCAGTCAGATGGAACATGGCTGCATTAAAAAACTCAGGGTAGGAAAGCAGGATCCTGTTATGTGTACTTTTTTTCTCTACAAGAGAACAGATCTTAAAATAGCAAAGGCAAGGGTAGAGATCAGATGATTCTAAAGAATATCTATTTTGAATTCTGAGCACATAAACTGGAATATGCAAGACACTGTGCTCCCACCAGCTGAAATGCATCTTGACCATGAGCAGGTTCTACCAAGGAACTTTTGCTATAACCACAAATTAAAGGAGCTCTGGTCACTTTATGTTTTTTTTTTTTTTTTTAAATTTTACATTATAATGAAGCAAAAACATATTCTATCAGTATTTCATACCCTCAAACAGTAAACATTAAAATTTAGGAAAATTTTCTTAAATATTGACTTGACTCGTTTTTTTTTTTTTAAACAAACAGATCATATAGACCCACTAGTAAGGGAAAGAAATAAATGCAAGATTTTCAAACCTCAAACTATTACCTAGTGTTATAATTATGTTTAGGCTATGCCATCAAGGTCTATAAAGCAACAGAAGCAACAGGATGGAAAACAGGAAATGCTGGAAAAAAACCATGGTCCCCCCCCAAAAAAAAAAAATAGCTCAATGACATCTGAGAAGTCTGATGTCATCAAAATCTCCTTGATACTGAGGAGCACAGACAGGTAAGGAATACTGGATAATAATATTTTTTGGAAGGCCAATTTTCATGTATGTGTGTGGATGTAAAAGATTAAGAGGAAAACAACAGTAATGTAAATCTGTTCAACGTTTATATAATTTTGAAGGGTTTCAAAGATGATTTAGTAACCTGATTTGGGGCAACTTCCTGTGAAGACAGGGAAAAACGTGGATGAATAATTCAAAGAGATTCTGCACACACTGCGCCCCTTACCAAAGCATCAGCAACTGCAGCTTCCAGATCTGTACTGGTGCTCAAAACCCGCATGGCATTCACGGAACCCGGTATTCTTCCTGGCTGGCCCAGCCCAAATCGGTCTATTTAGAAAACAAAAGCAAAACATATGTCACTTTAATTCACTTGCTCTCAATTCTTTGCAAGGAGCTCCTGCCTCTTTGCACCACAGTGGATAGAGGCTCTGACAAATCCCTAGCCAATTTTAACTGCATTAACTTATTTACCAGTGGTAGAGGTTAAGTTGTTTGCATTTAATACTATGGAGCCACAAAGCTCAATAGTGGAAACTGTCCCTTAGTATTTTATTACTTTGAGACATGAGAGAGGGGAACTTATTCTAGAAGGGAGCTGGACTATGAACTGAATCTTTTAATCTATTAAGCTTTTTCTCTACAGGCAAATGACCTTAATGTTTCTTCAAACTAATTAGAAAGCTTCATGATTTGATCAAAGAGTGAAGTAAACAGTTAAAATTTGAAATGAATGTACTAAAATGATCTCTGTGCAAAATTTCCTTAGTCTTTTTGTTGTTTTTGCAATACTGGGCTATACCGCCAGCCCTTTTTATTTTCTATTTTGAGAGAGGGTCTGGGCAAGTTGTCCAGGCTAGACTGGAACTTGGAATCCGCTTGCCTCAGCCTCCCAAATTGCTGGGATTATAGGCATGCACCATGGCACCAAGCTGAATAATAGTCTTTATACAGATAAACAAAATGGAGAGAATCCAAAGAATTTAAGATAACTTTTAACAGTTCAAACAACTATTCTAAGGTTGTTAGTGATCACAGTATATGAAGCCTTAGTTTTTAAAGTCCCAGTAAGTCAGTTGACCAGCCTTCTTTAAGAAGTGCTGGAGATTAAGACTATGATAGGAGGAAATCAGTGTAAAAGATGCATTGGGAATGATAAAGTTTCTTAATTAGTGTTAAACTTTCTTAATTAAAATTCTGATGTACAAAAAACTTTGAAGAAAAATTCTAAGATAAAGTGTTTTCCCTGTGAACTGTTTCAACAAGGGAAATTTCTGTATTAGCCATATTCTCGTATAAAGCATCGATTAAGAGGGGAGCTAATATTGATTTTACATAAACTTTAGATTGGTAATAAGACATCACTATAAAACTGATGGACTTTGAAATTGTTATGTTATTTAGCTTTTATAAAATGTCAATTTCAAGCTGTTATACCTTCTACTTCAACAGAAAGGGAAAATAATTTAAACATAGCTAGTCAATAGTTATACAGTCATGAATTTTTATAAAGAAACAAAAATTGTATGTTATACTATCCCCTTTTTTAATGCATTTGCTGATCATTCCAAATGTCCTCTTAGTCATTGTGTTGCAAAGGTGATTTCATGTGCCACATGAAACCTAAAAAGACCACAAAATAATCACATTTCTATATCTATCTATGTTAGTTAAATTATGAAATGAGTATAAATTTGAGATTTACAGATTTATAGATAATCTTTAAGTCTTTTTTTTTTTCATTAAAAAAGGGTAGATAGTAAGGGATTTATGAGTAACAGAATGAAAGTAATTCAGTTATAAGCCATTTAAAAATTACCCAGCAAAACTTAAATAAAACAGAGTCTAAAAAAATTTTAAAAATTAAAAAAAAGTAAATCTCATGCCAGCGATTCTTGTTCCAGGGATAATATTGTTTCATTTTGTTTTAAATCAGAAACAAAATTAAAACTTATAAGAACAATGCAATTATTCTGTGTTTCCCAGATGCAAACAGCTTTGCCATACACAGTGACTAGGATCACCTGATATAGAATACAGATAATTTGAATTGCAGATCTTGTATTTTTTTTTCTTTCTTTCTTTTCTGTGGTGCTGGGGATGAAACCCAGGGTCTTGTGGATGCTGAGCATGTGCTCTACCACTAAGCTAACCCTAAGTTCCTGAACTTCAGATCTTAAGGGGAAATGTTTACCTGGACCTAAGCAAGATGACCAACTTTTTGTCTCCACCAAACCAAAATCTGCTCTACATTCCTACTGCTCTGACACTGTGACAAAGCTCAGTAGTCCAAAGGATGGATGCATAGAGCTGTGCCCACAGTCTGGCCCCTAATCATCAGGAGAATGCTTTTAAATCCTTGCATACATAGAACTAAAGAGAAAATAACTGACTGAGGGAACTGGTAAGCACTGTCACCATCCACAGCTCATGAATTAATACTCAATTGAGAAAAATAGTCATCAGAGACTCTCAGCATAGGAAAATTAGGCCAGTTAAGTGTGGCAAATTGATGCTACTATATGTTTACTTTTTGCCCCTCTGGCTAGCCAGTTGATGTGTTAGAGCTGAGATGGAAGGTTTGGGGTCCACAGGCTGCAAAGGTTAAGCTTTGGCCTGATTTAATTACCTGAATCCTGATCTTATTTTTCCATCAAAACTTTTAGGACACTTACTTTCATATATTTGAAACTATGCATGCTATAATTTGAAGCATTGTTAACTGAACAGTACCTCCAAATAATTGGAACCTGACGGTAATAAGTAACATTAACATTTGACACTACACTGGGAAGTGAATGCTTTGGAGATGAAAGGCTGTTGGATGATATCCACACCCCATGTCCCCATGGGGCCCTATGTGACATCCACTTTGGGTGGTTGTTTTCATGGGAAGGGGGTGGTAGGAGGGGAAGACGTGCATCCCCATTTCTTTGTTTTGACATAAATATGAACACTAGAGAAATGACGCTGTCAAACAGGCAATAAAGCATCTATGGCCTATTAACAGAACTATAAACATTCAACAACTTAAAAAAACAAAAGCACATCAGGGAAAACAAACATGAGGTGCACACATGCCAAGCGGTAGCTGACACGGATGAAAACAAATGTTAACATGGGAGTGGAACTAGAACAGATGGAGAAGCCGAGTCATGCAGTTAGCACTTGTTCACCTGACTGCCCAACAGATTCAGCAGTGGAGAGAGCACTAGTGGACCTGGAATGACGTCGAGAGGCTGCAGGTAAAAGGAACGGCAACACCCACAGAATTAACACACAGGAACCAGAGGAAAGGCAGGGACTGCTACCAACAAGGCCGCATTTTCTCATGAAAAGAAATGGTGCTGGATATGAATGGACAGTAAGCGGCAACCCCCAGACTCCACGGGAGCTGCTGGCTCTCACACAGCTCTGAGACACACAGGCACAACAGAGGCACTCTTGCTGGTGCCTCCCACTATGGATGCATCCTCCAACTCGGACTTTAGGTTTAGATTCACGCTATGAAGCCTCTATCAGCCAGTATGGAAATGTGTCAAATGAAGCACATCAGGAGTCTCCAAGTACTGTCTAAACCCCCGAGTGGATAGCAGGAAGATGGATTTTTAACTCAGCTCACGAGATGTGTCATCAGTATGTGATGCATATGCCACCATGCTCCAAAAACAAAGGCAGGGAGTTCATAATGTTCCTTCAACAGAAATTGAATGAAATCACAGGAAGGGGGTTCAACAACTGGAATTCCATATTCCCTGGTCAAAATGTTTGTTGTTCTGTTGCACAAATGTCCTAATTAATGTACTTGTTTAACTGCTGGAAATTCTGTGGTATTTAAGTTTAATGACCTTCCTTGGAAAGGCAGTTGCAGTACTCTGTTTCTGAGCACTGGCTTGGAAATATAACCTTTAAGTCCTGGTTTGATTATAGCTAGCTATAGCACCTCAGACAATATACTAAACCTCTTTGGGTCTCAGTTTCTTCATCCATAAAATGGTGCCAATAACAGTACCTACCTCTTGGTTGTTACCGAGAAGATAACAGAAATCACACATAAAGCACTTAGTTTAAACCATGCCAGGCACAGAGTCGACAGTGGTGGTCACATTAATTAGTAATGGTGGTGGCAGTAACTGTTAAGAATCAACTCCAATGTACATTCAGAAATAAGAATATTATCAGCAAGTAATCATAGTAAGTATATTAATTAACCAACCCGAAGAAATAAATACTAAACTCTGTCCTCATGAGGAAAGAGAACAGCTTTTAGAAATAATTATGAAATAAGAGACTTGGTTCAAAACACTAATGTATTTGATTATAGTTCCATGAAATATATGGTTCTGCATTATCTCAAGAAAAGAACCCAAAGATAAAATGCTTCCATTCCTTAGTCTGAAAAAAGTGATGGTGATTAGACCATATAAGTTAATAGATTTCACAAGGTCATACTGAGGAGTTACCTTTCATACACATTACTATTCTGTATACATTAACACATTTAGTCATAAAATATCAAAATCTCAGATTCTTCCACTATTTTTTAAAGACCATGTTACTTTATAAGAATGTACACATCTGTGGTATATGTGGTAGCAATTATAAGAAAAGGTTATTTGATCAACAAAATGTTTACCAGCTTACAAAAAGAATATCCTTCCTTTCTCAATATTCACAAAAGTAAAAATAAATAGGCAATCTCTAAAACAATATAATAAACTTACCACTTTCCTAAATATGGAAGTTGGTAAAATGTTTTTTAAGACTGAAACAAACCACACATCTATCATATTAGTATATCAGTACTGTATTTTGATAATTTAAATTGGAAATGGCAACATCTGATCTGTAGTTTCCTAAGTAAGTAGTCCTTTGCTTCTATTTCAACAGAATATTCTATAATAAATTTGTTGTGCAACGCATCCTCTGTCATGTTCACAGTGAACACCCACCGACATCATCCAAGATGGACCCACTTATGTACAGAGCCTGATTTACAGCAGAGTTCTATATTTCATTCAACGATTATCACTTTAACCATTATTCATACACATTCACAGCAGTAAGATGCTTTAAAACAATCATGCAAACCGAAAACAATGTATACAGCCAGCCCTCTATTCACCAGTTCCACATCTGTGGACTCAACCAACTACAGGTGAGGGAAGAAAAAAAATGTCTGTCCTAAACACAAACAGACCTTTTTTCTTGTCATTATTCTCTAAGCAATATAGTATAACAATCATTTATAGAGCATTTACTTTGTATTAGGTATCAGAAATAACTTAGAGAAGATTTAAAGGGGGATGTGTAGATTATTTGCAAATACT